TTTGTGGGGTTTGAACCTGTGCTTGTGTTGCAGTTTTCTTTGTCAAAGACCTGCTGTTAACCACCACTCCAACTGGTCTTTTATGGAAACTTGGGACTTTTTTTGGGAGAAAACTCCTGTGCTTTATATAAAGAAACCTTTAAATGTTATGGGATTTGAACAAAGACATTCAGGTTGGAAGGCAATCAATTGTCCTGTGTGCTACTGAATCGTTGAATAGTGGCATCTACTTGTACAAATATATGTGTATGAACTTAGGCTAGGTTAAAATAAAATATTGTTACCTGTTGGATTTTAAACCACGCTTGTGTTGTGGTTTTGTTTGTCAACAACCTGCTGTTAACCACCACACCAGCTGAACTTCCAAAAAAAAAAAAAAAAATTGGGATAAAACCAGAAGCCTGTAGGATTTGTTTTATATAACATTTTTTATATAATTGAAATTAAAATATAATTTTAAAATTGAAAGGCAAACAATTACCCTTGGCGTCAGCGAATCGTTCAGCAGGTAGTTGTACTTGTATATGTGAATGAACATAGGCTAGGGAAAAAAGCTAATCTGCTAGATTTGAATCTATGCTTGTGCAGATACGTATTGTTTAACAAAGACCTGCTGTTAATCACCACACCAACTGGTCTCATAAAGAGCTACGGTAGTTTCAGGATGTGATGTTTATAATATTATGATATGAAAATATGGGAGTCTAAAATTCCCATTCTAGCTGAGTCTGAAGATGAGATAAACTAAACTTTGTTCTACCTGGTACAAAGGTCATGTCAAACAACATTTAATAACATAAAATAAATGCATATAAAAATAAGTCAGTGTTTGTGTTGTGATGGGTGCTGGCACCTAAATCTCTGTCATCTCAAAGACAAGGATCTTCTAACTGACCCTCACTTCACAACACCATATTTTGAATTTTAAAGATTAAATTGAACTTTCAAGAGTGCCACCTTGAGATGCAAATGTAATAATTCATTAAGCTGTTTAAATTCAGCACGATCCTTAATTTTTCACATACAAACACAATGATGGTGAACACAGTAACACATTAATTAATGGTTAACCTCACGTGACAACACAAAGGCAACAACAACTTCAGTGCAAATAATGCAGTAAAGAGTAAAAACATTGAACAATGAGGTAGTAATTTGCATGATACTCTAGTGCATTCTGGGAAACAGTCCAACATTAGGAAATTAGTGCTGTAAAAAGTCTAACCTACCCTTTGGCAGCAGCAAACGAGACTTGACTATTCCATAAGTTCAGCTCCAAAACAGCTCTCTTCAGGTGTATTACTTGGTCAAGGGCAACCAAAAACAGTGCCATCATGTGTTTGACCTGTGCATTGCCTACTGGGGGAGGTGAGATCAGAGAATTTACTGGCCAATGTCTAAATAAATGAACCCCTCTAACAAACACCTTGATTTTAACACCTTGTTTGCAAATGCTTAAAACAAATGTTCTTCCAAACCTTGATTCAGGATTTGAGCCAGCAAGCCCAGTTGCATGTATGTCATAGCTAGAACTCCAACCCAAACTTTTTGTGTTTAAAGACCATAGTGCTCCATACTGAGCTACCAGCACATTAAACCATTTCTGCTAAAGTCTTATGGCATGAGTAAAAGCATAATTTCCAAGCCCCATGTCTGTCTGACTGAATAACAGTATGGGGTGTAAAACCTTCAAACTTCAAGCTTCTAAAATCAAGGCATTGTCTAATTAATTACAAAGTTTGTCTTGACAAACTTGACCTATCTTGTTGAATGAGTGGTTTGTCTTCAGGCCTTGCTGAAGTTGATAGTTGTGGTGCTTTTTTGTTTCCCATTTTGTATTTCTATCCATCTAAATGACCAAGAGAGAAAGCCAACCATGTTTTCTCAGTATCACACCCTATTTTCCCACGAAAATCGATTGATTTTTTCCGGCTATTAATCATTTAAAGTATCATTCAATGACAACTGGAAGGTCCTTGCCTCCCCTGACAGGATTGATTGATGTGTTTTGAAGCCAATAGAAGGTACAATGTCAAACTTTTAACTTGATAGTAAATGTCAGATCAAACATTAGCCTCGTGGAAAGCTAATAGTCAGAGATGTGCATTTTTATTGTGACATTCATCCTCTCATGAAGATAAATGGAATTTTTTATCATAGCTGGCATTTAAGTTATAAAACTCATTATATCAGTGGATAAACATTATGGGCAAATTGCTCTCATGAATTGTAATGTCTAGTCGTGAAAAAGGTTTTCTGTGTTTGCCTGCTTAGATCTAATGAGATTTCCAGAGGGTTACTGCTAACATCTTAATTCACATTCTGTCTGTTTTTATAGTTTTATTTGTCCTCGAAGCAGTGGCAGTGTATATTAGTGTATATAGACTATGTTCAGCATTCTACCATAGCACTCTTACTATTTCTGCATCGTATAGTAAGTATACCGTGCACAATATGTGCCCATTTTTCATAGAATACTGGAATGACTGGCTACATTTGCCAAAATGTTCAGTTAACAACAGGGCATTTTTTATTATTTTTGATTAATGCCAGATTAAACTCCAATAGGGTAACCAATCAGTGACCAATTCTAATCAATTTTAATTACTCATTGAAAATGGAAGCCCTGCCCCCTAGTCAAGCATTCTATCAAAAACAGTTCATGTTGATAAGCTTGATTTTTTTAGACTTAATTTTGCCCTTTTTTAGGACAGAAAGCAAAAATTTGTACTCAGGTCCCCCAAGGCACAACTGTACAAAGTATCAGAGCACTGCCCACAAGGCTATCGGCTTCAACAAAGAGCTTGATATTTTACATAATTTTAAAACTCCTGATTAAAAGTAAGGTTTTAAAAGAGAAAAATAGAAGGTCACCAAAAATTTAACTGTCAATAACCATTTTAGTGAATCCCAGGAATTAGTCCACCATTATTCACCCTGCATTCTTATTAGCCGGCCCGCATTGCATCTGCAGCTGGAGAGAATTCTGTCGGAACGTTGCGGAATGAATCGATTCAGAGGAAAACGAGTTGGTAGATTGGAACAGAGGAACTAAATTTAACATTCCATGCGTTTTGAAAAGAACCAGTCAGACCACTATGCAGTAAATCCTTGCTGTTACGATGACCTTGCGCTCAAGGCTAAAAGGCAAGAAATCACTCAACAAGGGCAGGCGCTTTTAGCACATGTTGTGAGGTGGCATTTTTTAGTGTCACAGCAAAGGGTCTGAATACTTAGGACCATGTGATATTTCAGTTTTTCTTTTTTAATAAATCTGCAAAAATGTCAACAATTCTGTGTTTTTCTGTCAATATGGGGTGCTGTGTGTACATTAATGAGGAAAAAAAATAACTGAAATGATTTTAGCAAATGGCTGCAATATAACAAAGAGTGAAAAATTTAAGGGGGTCTGAATACTTTCCGTACCCACTGTAACTCTCTTCGGTGTTTGTCATAGTATACAAGTGAGATTATATTCTTTCATAGACAGCTATGTTGAAAATAGTTTTAGTTTATTTGAAACGGTTTTAAAAGTTGTGTGAATGGGCCTTGTGGGAGCAGGCGCTGCTGAGCTTTTTAAAAAATTTTTTATTTCTGTTTCCATGGAAACCACAACTTCTCTGACTTGCCCATTAAGCTAATTCAAAGCAAGGTACAGACACAAAAGAACACAGAAAACGCCATCTTTTTCATAATAAAGTTTATTCTATATTACAAATAGTATTTTGTTCTTGACTGCAAAATAGGAATGCATTATATTTACATACACAGGTATACAATTAATTATAACAAAGTTAGAGAAGCTTGCCTTTCCGCTGGTCTCTCTCTTCCTCTACTCCCATCAGGATAAATCTATCTTGCATCAAATCTGGAAATATTAAAACGTCTTTTCGAACAGGTCTCTGCAATGCCTGTTGTAACACTGAGCTAAAAGGACTTTTTAGTTCTTACAAAATGTTTAAGGTGGAAACTTTATCAGGTCTTTTGGGGTGTAAAGGGACGAGGTGGGGGTCGTCCTGATAAACGAACATTAGAGATGAAACGTGAAATATAACACAGGATCAGAGTCACGAGGGAATCCAGGAACATATCAGCTTTTTAATCAAATCATCATCAGTTCATTTAAGACCTCTGTGGACTTTATAAATGAGTTCCCAGAAACATGAATCATGAAACACTTTCCACCGTCAATTCTGAACTCATTTGCAAGATTCTAGTTTTGAAAGATTTACTAAAACAATAATAATAATAAAAATACCTAACCTAACATGGTGACAGTGGTATTTTATTATTTTATCTCATTAGAATCATTAGTTGGGGGCAGCTGTGTACCTGAAATCCCGCAATACCTCAACACAATCCTCTGTTACTAAGCTACAACCAAAAATAACACAAGGGAGCTCAAAGCAATCACACATACAGAGACAATATCACAATCCTCTGTTACTAAGCTACAACCAAAAATAACACAAGGGAGCCCAAAGCAATCACACATACAGAGACAATATCCAAAACAACATTAAAAAATAATTTGGTGTAATGCTAATGAAATCTTGAAAATTAGGTTGCATCAAAATGATTCAAATAATATAATTTAATATAATAAAATAATAATATACGGACACATTCAGGGAATCAACTCACATTAAAGACGTACAGTAAAAAAACACAAATGTAATGTGTTGTGATAGTATGTTAGGTGTGACTGGACTGGTATGTGATGTCGTGGTCATATTTGCTCAGCGTGAACGAGAACTCTCAGATAGATGGCCTTCGAGAAAGGCAATCCACCTGACAGGAAAAGAGCAAAGGAGTCTGATGAAAGTCTAACAAGAGTTTGATTCGGTTTAGAAATCCTTAGTAGTATTAGATAAATTGATAGCAAGGCAGTTCATTTCATATCATCCAAATCAGCATGCAAGGGTATATACTATATCTGCTTAAGGTTTTACCTTAGCCTTATTAGCATCTAACACATTCACAAAACGTGGTCATGGCAGTTGAATGGAAGGGCAGGATAAAGGTTCCACCTTAACAAGAGGTTGCAATTTTGAAGATGACAGCCACTTTTTTCCATCTCGTTCTTCCAAGCAAAAGAAAGAAAAGAACACATCCACATCATCAATTGCAAGGCTTATTTTTTCTGTTTTCCTTTTTTCTTTTTTGAAGTTTAAATTGAAATACATGCGCTGAAAAAGCCAATAAAGCACCCAAGGTGGACCTGGGCAGATTCTCCACACTTTCACATCACCACATAGGGTACGCTGTCAAGGGGAAAGAGGGGGTCAGAGGACAGAGGAAAGGTGGGCAGCTAAATTGTCTCTTTCCCATTGTCAACGTTACATCCAATACTAATTACATCCTCATCATGCCATCCGTTTGCTTTTAGAGTCATTAAGCCCAGGTAAGATTCATCTCTCAAGGCTGCCAGCAACATTTAAACTACAGCAAGCCCTTAAACTTCAGATCGGGATTTCTTTCCGCCTTCCCAGTTGTGCAATAATCAAATAATGGTCTACTGTCCATTATTCTGCACACAGAATAATGGACAGTAACAAATATGAGGCTGCAGACGGAGTTTCCTTCTGCAGGTCATAAAACAAACAGTGCCTTGTGTTTGCTTTCTCAGGGGTAATTTATTCGCTTTGCTATTGTTTTTTAAAAATTGGGCTCCTTTGGTTTTCTGCTGACCAACTTTGTCTACGTGTGGGTTTTTCTAGAGGCTTCCAGAGTGTTCGTTATGGGTGGGACCCTGTGGCAGTGAACAGTGCAGGCTGCACGTGTGCACTTTCAACAATGCGCCATTTCCCCCCTTTAACGGCTAATTCTGAGTAGGATATTTTGTAATTAAGGTCCCCCTACTGGATGTGTGAACTGAGACACCTATTGAATGTGCTTTTTTGTTGTTAAGATTACTTCATCCTCTTGCAGCACAGCGTAGGTCCTGACAACCTCGCTGGAGTACAGAGAGAAGGCGTCTCTCTCTGGAAGAGGGGTGTGTGTGCTTGATTCTAAGGGGAACAAACCTTGGCTTCTCCTCCACTCATCTAGATAAGAGAGGATCAATTCAGATGTGCACAAGCCGGATAAATGCCGAAATGAAGGCTGGTGGTGAAGTGGTGAAGATGTGGGTATCCCACAAGACGATAGGTCTCGTCTTTCAGTTTCACTGTCAGGTAAGGTCCTGGAAGAGACAAAAGAGTTGATGCACTAACTTGCTGTGTCCCGCTAAATGTAGACGGTTTTAAATACACCTCACTGTCTTCAAAGTGAGAATAAGCAGTTGGGATTCTCAAGGCTTGATTGTTCTTTTATCAAAGCGTATAAATGATCTTGCGCGTCCCGTAAATCCAGTGTCATCAAGGTGTTTTGTGTCTTTTGAAATGGCCCGAATGAACTGCATTCTTCAGATGCGTGCAGTACCATTTTTTTCGTCTTGCGTTTCAGTATTTCATAAAGGTACTACAATGAACTGGACTCAATATTAGTGTCGCACACTACCCTAAAAGTCAGAACAAATTGACACCAAACATTGTGGTTTCTGCTTATCAGCTAAACTTTGAAGGCAACATAATTTTTTTTTCTCTTTTCCAGTCAGGGAGAAGGATGGAGGATGCAGTGACGTGGAACTCGTAGGCAGCCACCCCTCCTCTACACAGCAGAGCCGGATGGCCACCCACTCTACTGCATCATGGGTAATGTAGTCCTTGGCTCCTCCTCCCACCCTCCAGTTCCCATCTCTACTCTTCTAGAAAGCAGAGCTAATATGATGCAAACGCTTGTTTTTGTGGGAAGATTGCAAACAGAAGAGATGAGATAGATGGACAGGTCTTCAATCAGGCACGGCTCGGTTTCTGATGGATCTCCCAGTGCACTCTGGGAAATGTGGTCCTCAGCTCTCCAGGCTCATGAAGGCGACCACTTGCTCCAGCTTATAGGCCAGTCTCTGTTTTCTGGCACCATCATCCTGCTCCAGCGCAGACACAATCTGTCAGAGGGAGATGACACATCAGTTACACATGCCTCCAGATAACCACATATCCCTCTCATCTGCACTTTTCACTTTTATTTACTTTTTTATCTTTATTTTAGGAAAAATACATCTTGAACACGTTCTTAGCCGTCATTGTGAGATCCAGCTAAACAAATGTGTGTGCTACACTTAAAATGTGGCAAATTAACAGGCTAATAGTTTTCTGTACCTCTTCTGTATATTTGCCTACATAAGAGTAGATCTCGCTGAGTGAGCTCATGGTGTTGAACTCGTTCATGTGCATACGGGACTGTTCTGCTAGATATGCGTTCATATCCTGATCACTGATCGCAGGCATCTTACTAATGTCGGAGTAATATCTGTAAGAAACGCAGAGAAACAGAAATAGCACAGATTATTTAACAAACATTTCGAACTTGGACAGGTGTCAGGGCTTAAGAAGCCTTTTTATAACTCATGTAGAATAAGAATAACATGTTTCAGGGTCATTTCTGGCACTGAGTGAGAGCTGTCACGCCCCTTCCAATCAGTTCAGCATTTACTTTCTGTGGCAGTACAGCTGCAGCTTACATCAGCGAGTGACTGTGAGTCTTAATGAGCCGCTGTCCTTGAAAGTTTTCCAGAGATCAGCAGAACCTATAGGATGCTGGAAAGATTCAATAAATGTGCCCCACACATACGCTGACACTAGACACACACTAGCACATCCAAAACAAAATGTGCACATAAAAGCACACAGTTATTGTAGATACAAGCACTCTTCCAGAACCACAGCCTAGGTAGACAGCATTGCAACCATCATGGAACCTCATATGTGATTTGGAACACTCTAGCTAGGCAGAAACGTCTTGTATTAAAACTTGCAATTGTGTTTGATGTTACCATATTGATAAGCTAATGGTGTGATACACAAATAAGCTTACAAACACACAAACATTTTTATCCATAATTTTAATTTTGAATAAAACATGGTTATTATATCCAATCCATATTTCTCTCGCTTTATTCACCAACTTTTTTCCACTCAACTCAAAATGCATTCTGGGATTGCCTTTCCATGGAGGAAACGTGATGCTACAGGGTATCTTATGAGGCAGTATAATTAACATGCCTATCTTTTGGAACAGCTTTCGTGCCTGGTGAGCACCCACGATACCTTAAAATGCTGTCTCTGTAGGCAGCTCACTAGGTTTTGGAACGGAGCAATACTATCTGTTGTCTTTGGGTGGCTGGTGCGTGTGAGTGAGTGAAGGAGTGTTGGTGGAGGAAAAGCAATCAGTCACTGTCACCTGCAGCTGCAGAGGCTCTGTCGACTCTTTAATTAAGGCAGGTCATTTACATTTTTAATTCCTGCACCATGCCAACTCCTGGACTCAACACACTGACTGACTAACCGGTGGCATGCGTGTCTGTTTCAGGCTTCCGTGAGCACCTTGAGTGGCAAGTATGTGCTGCAATGCACCATGGGGCATCAGCGGAGGACAATGGCACGGTGTTGAACGAGAGAGATAGTGAGGAGTTGTAATCTTTAGGTATGGCCTTCCCAAAGGAATCAGGTACACTTCCTAAATGAGTTCACACATTTGAGTTTAGCGTCTCTCTCTGCGCCCTCTGCTTCCCAAGGCTAATGACAGGAAGCTTGTCTGGCACTAATTAATACCACATTTAAATGTCAGCTGTTCGTCAGCCAGAACAAGTCCATTCTGGTTATTCCCTTGTATCGTGCATGTATTGCAAATGACTAAATAGTTGCTACACTTTCTGACCAATGAATAAACTGGAAATGGCATTTAAAAATAAATTGAATAGAATATAAATTTAATAATTGTTCACAGAAAACAGCAAAAATTACATTTTTATATTTGAAAAATATTAAGTTTTTTTGTTATTATGTGTGAATAAAGACTAATTTAGTTGTTTCAGTTTGTTATTTTATTTTTAAACAAGTTTTTTTTTATCAGATTCCTAAAATATTTGTGTTTTCTCTTTATTATGACAGGTGGTGTGCTTAACAAACTGAATTTATTGACTGTAATTGGGCATCGGAATAAAAAAAGTGCGTTACTTTTTTTTTCTCTGCCTTTCTCATAAAACAGTAAATTTGAAAATTCATGGATAACAACATCTATTTTTTAGCATTACAAATACTACTGTGACTAAAAAGCTTACACATACTGATGGATTAACCATTACAGAAACATAAAAAAACTATTTTGGTAATCACCAATATTGTTAGTTTAGGGCAGCTGTGGCACCACATTGGGTGGTGGTGATCTAATAAATTTGTAAACCACTGTATATATATGTATAATTTTGAATGAAGACAAATTTTTATGAAGACATGAAAGGATCTCTTCTCAAATCATCTGACAAAAAGGAAACAGAAGGATTGTCTCAATTCACACAGATTTGTCACCTATCAGGATATTACCGAAAACAACCAATTAAGGAGTAACGTGAGAGCTGTAACTCAGAACAAAGAATGCATCTTTGAGAACTAAAAAGCTTACACATACTGATGGATTAACCATTACAGAAACATAAAAAAACTATTTTGGTAATCACCAATATTGTTAGTTTAGGGCAGCTGTGGCACCACATTGGGTGGTGGTGATCTAATAAATTTGTAAACCACTGTATATATATATGTATAATTTTGAATGAAGACAAATTTTTATGAAGACATGAAAGGATCTCTTCTCAAATCATCTGACAAAAAGGAAACAGAAGGATTGTCTCAATTCACACAGATTTGTCACCTATCAGGATATTACCGAAAACAACCAATTAAGGAGTAACGTGAGCGCTGTAACTCAGAACAAAGAATGCATCTTTGAGAATGTATTTTTCCTGGTTTAAACACATATATGTCAGCACCTATAATTAAAGCAGGCTTTTCTCACCTCAGTAGGCACGTTTTAGTATGATCTGTAAGATGTGTAACACATTAGCTAATGCATGAAAATGAGCTTTCTCTCCATCTCAGCTCTTTCATAGTGAATGTGAGCTGGCAGCATGATTACGGTCTTATCATTTTCCCCATCATGCTAGTCTGCCAGCTACCCGTCTCCTCCTGCAGCCTCTAATACCTCACGGCAAATAAACACGTTAGTCAGAGTCTGAGGGTCAGTGTGCGTGAGCAGAGACACACGGCGCTGATGAGTTTTATCAGTGCTGTTTACTGTAGGGTGGTGGGCTTGAGTAGACCAGCGCGGTGCGCTGAATTGAGCAGAAAACAATAGAATTATTCAAAGCTTTTTAGCCGTGTCTGAATATGCCTAATTCCATACTATATAGTATGCGAAAAACACCAGTATGCCAAAAAAGTGTTATGTTCAAATCATAGCATTCGAAAAACAGTAGGCAAGAAGTACCATGAAGCCTTGGGCGAGGAGTTGTGAATGGGAGTGAAGTGACGCAACTGATGCTAGTAGGTCACGTGACAGTGTCTGAATTTCATTTAGACTACCTATATACATACTACATACTTAAATGTTCACGAACTAAATACAGAAATGCAGTACGTACAAGACAGCATGCAATTTCAGATGCAGCTTTTTACAGTCATTGCTTCTACTTTCTTGGCATTGTTGAACATAGAGTTTATGACCCAGAGGATTGTGGGAAAAGCAGAAAAGTTTGTCTCTCCTACTAAACAGTGACTAATTGCTTTGGTGCAGTGTTGGGTAGACCCATAAGATCTACTGAACTACAATAGAGCTGCAATTCATCATCCTGGAGCTCTACAACACACTTCAGTCTGATTACCAGCAGCTACACACACACACACACACACACACAATACCTGCAGGACATAATAAAATTCTGGGCTTTTATTCACGATGATACCCACATAAACACTGTATCTTTGCATCTTTTCTGATTAAAAACGTTCACAAGTGCACCTCACATACAGTCTCTCATTCTCCCTCACACATGCATACACATTAAAACACTCCAGCAGTTTCTCCATGTTTCTACCCCGATCTCTTCACACCAAGACCTTAGAACCATGCAAACTGAAGGAATATGGAAGTCTACTCTTTCTGATATGGATTTTTAAGGCTGCGTTGGTCCACCAGATACTGTGATTGACAGTCTTTGTTTGTATGTTCAGTCACTTTGAAAGATCTAGAAAGGGAATCTTGTAACTATAAAAATGTTCTTGCTCACCTCTCCACCCAGTTCTTGTAGCTGGGAATGTCCTTGGCATACAGCAGCTTGTTAGAGGGGGAGTCTTTGCCCAGGCGGTGCTCTGACGTTGAGCACGAATCCATGAATGTTTGTGCCACCACAGACAGACAGGCATCCGTGATGCTGCTCTTATGGATGTCGAACACAAACTGTGGGTTCTTGATCACATTCACCCAGAACCGTAGAGGTAGGCTGTGGAGAGCAGAGAATGTATTAATGGCATTTTATTTTCAAAAGCTCTTTAATGCATAAAAAGGCCATTTTGGAACAGGAAGCAGTGGCTTTATGAAACATCAGACTGCTTTTAATGCTTATAAGTTTATTAAATATATATTGAATAGATACTGGAATGATATTGATAAATTAAATCATTTTAATTGAGGTGTGCAGAGCCAATTTTTCCAGTCTGAAATGGCAGCATGAGTATTTGAGCCATACTCTGAGTGCTTTACTAATACATCTCATATTGGTTTGTTTGTATCTTGAGTGCTGCCCTGCAATTGTGCACCTGTCCAAAACAATAAATGTATACAAGGCTACTTTATACCCCAGCCCATTTGTGCTAAAGTGAAATCAACTTAGGAGTGTGTGCGTGCACGTCTCAAGGGTCACAGATGTTGTTTGGTCTGGGACTTTGTGCGCTTGTGTCTGAGACTGCAGAGCTCTCGTTAGTTTTCAAGACAGCTTTGGTTTTGTCTTAGATAACAAAAACTGAAGAGAGGAGACGAGGGAATAAGAAAGGACACTGCAGTGAAATGGATGCAGAGTTTTGCATCAAAGAAAAAGAGAGAAAACAGTCAACAAAAGCTTTTCCGTAGCAGCCCCCTCTCTGTTGCATTCTGAATTCATTCAAAAATAACAACTGCACCAAAGAGGATTTCGAGAGCAAAGCACGTATTATGACTCCCAAATTAATCAGAGAGAATCAACTGGGATTATCTGCACTCTATCAAAAGGATATCAATGCTTTAACAACGAGTCGACACCCTCGTAAACCTGCCACAGCTGGCTTCTGTGAAGATCATATTCTCCAGACAGAACAAAAAGCAGGACGTGTTTGAAGCGCCATACTTTAGAGAGCTCTCAGCGGAGAGAGTGAGTGGATCAGGAAATGGGAATGATGTCTGGATGGACTAGATCCTAGCTAAATATAGCACTCAGCTCAGCGCAGCCCTCTCTGGGAAATGCCTCACATTCTTTTGGGTTTCTTCTGGCTGCTTTTTTTGTGTAAAGGTAGAAATTTTAGTAACGTGCAAAATGGTTCTGATGTACTATGGAACCATAGTTTTATGTCCAAAAAAGTGCCTAAATTAATGTTTTATGTATCTCAGTGTTCGGACTAGTGGATTAGTGAGGTTTATCTAGAAATGCATTTGATCGAGGTCAGGTGAACTTGAGACCAGCCTAATTCTACAGGACTTTAAATGTGCGGTCACATCTGCAAAATTCGGTGAAATTTCTGCCAAATTTCGCAGGCAAGATAGGGCCACCGTGTTGACCAACTTGAACCCGTTGTGAAATCCACATCAGGAAATCTTCCAGATTGTGTGGAATCCTAATGAAAAAATAACGCACAAAAATTAGCTGAATAACGGTGATTGTACCTGCAACATGGACCAATCACCTAGTCTATTTTGAAAATATGTACTTTTGCAAATTCTTACTTGACATTTGCCAAGTTTATGGACATTAATGTGTCTGTATGTATGTGACGAGTGGGGCGGGGCCGGTGGAGTAAATGATAATGAGCGACACCTGCACCTCTCACCAGTCTCGAGTCCCACGGAGGAGCTCCGGAAGAATAAAAGGAGGAGTGACAACAGTGCAAGACGAGAGAGGAGCAGGCCTGGACTATTTATGTTGTTGTTTTATGCTGCAGTCGTCTGTGAGGGGCTGCCGCTTTTACTTTTGTTTTGTGTTCGTTTGCTTATTAAAGTTTCATGTTTAAATGTTTGCAGGTTCTCACCTCCTTCTTCCTGATCTATGCACATTGTTACAATGTATAATAGCTTTTTTTTGCATTGTTTAACTCACAATTTTTGTTGCATCGTCACTGCCACAAATCACTGTCAGTGTGAACGCCCCTTTGAAAACTAAATAGTATTAATTTTGGTCATCTGCATTTTGAGTAGCTCAACAAAGAGAGTTAATTTAACCACACCAATCAAACTGCTTTGATTATCTGTATCTGTGCATTGACAGCTTGTACTTTGATTGGCAAGCTGTACCGCCCAACCCTCGCCCAGTCACAAGATAGACAATGGCATGATGGATGATTCACAAGAGCCTCGACCATCAGCAATCCATCTCTGCCTGGCTTTGGTTAAAGATCTGATGCTTAAGGCTTCCTTTGATGCATTTGAAGAAGAGATTTGTAGCAAAACTGAGGAATCCATCATTTAGGTTGTGATTTGTTTGAATGAAAGTCAATCTAGATGTCCATGGGATTCACACAGAATTCACTGATAGCATTGTTTATTTGCATTTGCTTTATGCATTGTTTTGGCACCAGATTCACCTAATCTATGTGAATCAGATAACTGCACAAATGGCCAAAAATCTGCTTTTAAAAAGTTTTCAGCTCTATAAGAAGGTTAAATTGTGCTCCATAACGGGTTTTCATGCTGAGATTTGGGTGGTCTAGACTGTTATTCTCGCTACTAATATTAAAGAAGTGTTTGTCTGTGTAGGACACACTTAAATAAGAGGATAAGCAAGAGACTTGGACATCTTAAGTTGCCATCTGGATTGTCTGGAAATCTCTCATTTGCAAAATCAATCAAAACGAGAAACCCCTCAGTGCACCCTGCACAAATAATTTCACTTTCCCTTTAAGAACAATAATAATTGGTGAAGAGAATTGATGAGCAAACACTAACAGTCTGTAAACAAAATACTGATTATGCCTGTGCTTTCATGGCCAAAAGCATTTAGCTTTAGAGTGTTAAAATCCTCTACAGACAGCAGATATGCCCCACCCACGGCTCTGGTTCAATTAATGGCCTGTGTGGTGGCAGCAGCACATCTAGCCACACAGATAAAGCTGAGCCTGTTGTTTTGTGCACAATATCTGAAAATGGAGCTATTTAATTTTCTGTGAGAGACATTAGTTGTCACCCTATGAAGATGAAGATTTCTCACTCGCGGTCCTGTATCAACGCGGCGACAGCTGCGGGAGACTGGCAAAAGGGATGACTGCGATGATTCTGACAGGTGTCCTGACTGACATCATCATTAGTCGCCCAGAAACCAAAGTGGCTATTTGCAACCGTTTGAAATGTACCTGGTCATTTTAGCGCACTTAAAAGCAGGCTATCAGACATAGGCAGGCAGTCAGAGAAGCATTAAACGTCAAGTGATCTCGTTCCGGACAGGTGAGGAAAGAACATTTGTGTAATTGCAAACAGAAAGAGGACGGAAAAGTGCAGAAGACAGAACGATAGAGGAAGAAAGATTAAATAAAGCCTGGCATTATGGAGGGAGATGGAAAAAGGTAAAGCTCACCCATTCTCAGAGACACTGATGGACCGAATGCGGAAAGTGTCAGCACCCCAGGCAGATCACTGGTATTTATTGCAGGGGTGAAAGCCAAACAGTCAATTACTGTGCTGTCACACCAATCATTTTTCACCAAGAGAGATGGTGTCTGCGATAAACTGGTTATTTCACAGAAATAATCCATCTAAAAATATGACACACAGTCTGCAAGCGGAGTAGGGTAATCACCAGGGCATTTGTGCATGTGTGTGTGCACTCCTGCTTGGTTACATCAGGAACGTCAGAATCACAGACACATACAGTTCTGCAAAAAGCAGATTTCTGTGCCAGTACTTCAGTTTCCCAGCATCAGCCTTTAAGAAAACATGGACTGGGGCCTTCACATCCAAGATTAACCAAACACTAAATTACAACTATGGGGCTTCTTTGTGAATCTTCCCTTTGTGGATCATCCAGTCATTTATATAAGTAATAGCACAACTGTCATCAATAAACCGCTATGTTTTGAGGTTTACGGTACAGGATGCGTTAAGTGCCAAAGTAAAATACTAAGGGTTTTGGATTTTAACAATGAGCAGTAGCAATAGTGATGCCTGCCTAATCAAACAAAGCCTTCTATTCCATTTCTTCAACTTCCTGATGTCCTTGAAGCACTATGCTTTTCTGGTAGTGAGGGATCTGTATTCAACCCAAAACAAGTGCCTGTTTACCAGCTCTGCTGATGCCGTGACGTCATGTCAGTCAGAGTGATACTAATGGAGAAAACAGACAAACCGGAGTTTGGAGCAAATAGCATAAACATGAACTGTTTGACACTGTGGCCTCAACTCCACTAACTCCACAATCTAGCCATTTGATCTCATTCTAGAAGGTTCACATGTTTTGGGAAGGATCAGATCTGTTGACAACTCTTTTTAGGGGCGTTCAACAAATTCTGACATTCAGAGAATATAAGACATGGTGGCAAAGCCTACCTTCGTGGCCAACAGCCTGGTCAAGTAGATCTCCGAGACCATCTTGCTGCCACGGTCTCCCTCCTTCTGGTCTCCATGCTCATGGTTTTTCACCAGATGCCACACCTTGACGCCGCTCTCCAGGTCAGGTGTGATCATGGGTGTGCGGGAACGCAGGCTGTCCGGACTGCCCGTGTACTTGATCATGTTTTCTGTTGGAGTGAAAAGACAAAGACCCATCAGATGGTGGTTCCTCCTCAATCTTCCTTTGCTGACAAATGTCCCATGCAGCTGTTCAAATCTGTTCCTATCTGTACAAAACACATTGCCTTTTGTTGTGAAGTACTCGAGATTGGAAATGAATCATTTAGAACGTATGGATGCTTAATTTTTCATCCCTTGCTCTCTTGCTTGCTTTCTCTCTGGCGAACGTGCGTGTTCGCTCCCTTTGGCGGACACAAAATCGAACAGGTGTCAGGCCAGATGAAATATTCATGCTTCAGCCAATAGGGAGAGATCAGCCATGACATTTAAAAAAACACAGAGCTCGATGAATGTTTACACAGTGTGAAAAAAAAATTGATTGGAAAAGGCCTGATTTGGTAAGATAAAAAAAAACAGTTCACAGTGGCAGATGCAACAGAAATCAATCTCTCTAGGGGAAATAGACAAAGAGAGAGAAGAGTAGGAGGAACCTGATAAAGAAAAACAATAACACCTTCAGAAAAAGAAGAACAGAGAGGATCACTAACTAAAAAAGGAATGAGATTGAGCATGTATATTTGCATTCACATCACTGGTGCTGATCTCAGTGTGGCTACGTTCACACTGCCTCAGTCTGGAGTGCCAAATAATAATTGTTCAAATATTCAAGACTTGACCAAATTCTGAGAGTGAGTTGATATATGCTGTATGAACCAAACTAGTTTTCTGTTCATTATAGAGCACTGACTGTGTGAACGTAGCCTATATTTGGTGGAGATCTGATTAATACAATTGTTGCAGCCTCACAAAATGTCTTTCTAGGTGTTTCAAAACGTGTCTCTTGCTGAACCTGTTACAAGAACCTAAATGTCGTTTGAAGCTAATTCTGAAAGAGTGAAGTGATATATGGCATTTTCTTTCTGTCTTTCCCATCTGTCACACTCCCTCTCTCTCTTCTTTAGGCTCATTTAGAGTGCAGGAAAGTATATGGAGATGAGATGATTTTAATGGTCTATTTGATGTGTAGGGGGAGTGCTCGGAAGGCCCTGAGCTTTGATCTTGCTCTTTATCAGACCCAATCGTACGAGGGACTGATGGCAGGCGAATGACAGGGACGGATTCAGAGTCTCAGGAGGGAAGTCAAGTGCAAAGAGACTCATTTTCCCTGCTTTTACCTTTGTATGCTGCCCGACTATCTCGGCTCTCTCCACGTAATTCCGTTTGAGCTTCATTCCTGCTCCCTTTTGTGAGTGGCTGAGATGTTACACATTTAACTTCTTTTACCTCCCTGTAAGATGACAAGACTATTTTTTTAAACTCCTTTTCTGTTCTTAGTGCAGCTCAGGTGGAATGTTACCCTACCCTGCTGTAGAAACGTTAGTCAGCTGATTATTAATGTTTTATATAGTGTGCCGTACGTTTTGTTTTGGAGATATGGATGCATTTTAGAATTAGAAAAGGAATAACAAACACAAACCATATTTGCTAGCAGAGGTTCTGGAGACAGTGGAGTTGTTCACAGAGTTGTATGCGGTGACCTGCTTTGATACGAGAGCTACCACTGCATTATCAGTCACCTGCAGACAAAGAAACAAAGATTATTATGGACAATTTACGAAAACCAAATAAAATATCTACATTTCAGACTAAAAAACTGTTGTAAACAAGTATGATATCTTCAGCTTTATGGTTACATTAAGTTAGGGTTATTGATCTTTTATTTCTCATCCAGGTTAATGGAAAACTGCATGAGTGAAGGACAAGAGGGGATAATCTGCTTCCATTTCAATAAGTTTCTTCCGGTGGGATGAACTGGGCTATTTAACTATATGCCTCAGCAACTGCTAACCACAGTAAGTCTTAGCAAGCCAAATTCAATTAACATGTGGGGGCCTCTATTCCCCAACCACACATTCCTCCATCCACATAATTTGCCATTGGATGCCTGCGGCACTTACAGGGTTAATTGAGGTGATGGTGTAGAACTAGATGATTTGGGCTCAGAACTGCATGGGGACCCAAACCACAGCAGGAGGGAGAATATAGGCTTCACAGACCATTAGGATATTATTCTTATACCCTTAACCACTTTTCTCCTTGGACTGCCACGGCCCGAGAGGACAGCTGTCCAAACTTCAACAAAATCAAACAAATATTTCTTACACCTCTGTATAGATGAATGACTGTGTGAAAGGAGACTTCAGACAAGGGCTATATTTCCCTGAAAAGGGACTTTTTAGAAAACAGCAGAGATTTTCTCTTTTATCTTTCCCCTGCGGGCAAGTTTACGCTTTAAGAGAGTCTCTGTGTTCCTGATAGCATTCAGAAACATCAGATATCCGAGATGGGGCTTATACAACCCCAGTGTGAAGCTTCCTAAGATAACATCAAAGAATTAACGTCAGAGCCAGATGCATTTGTAGCACCTCGATTTGGAGGAAAGTATCAAAGATGACTTGAGATATACATTATACATGCACAGAGGATCCTTTATGACAGACATATCAGACTTTAGTGTGACACTCTGCAACTTTTCATGTTAGACTAAACAAGGGAATTTGGTGCTATTAGAGAGAAAGAAATGAAAGGAAGACAGTTATGAACACATATGTGGCGCAAGGACAGAAATGAAGAAACTGAAGATGGTGCAGGGTGCACAGAGGGTCTCTCTCTTCCCCCTCTTAAGCAACTCTTAACAGGCTTAGGGTGTCTGATAGCTTTTTTTTGTCAAGGATAGCACACCCTCCCCGACTGAAAATGAATTAAATTCTGTCTTCATTATCTGATCTCCGATTCCAATCAACAGCTAATCCATTCTGCCGCTTGCAGCCCTGCACCCATATGCCGCCCCGTGACATTTAATTTAAGTACTGTGCAGACTCCTCTCTCTCTAAAAGCTCATTTGGAGGGCGGCTTATGGAGGAAATTATTTACACTGTAATGAAGCGCCGCCTGTCTCCTCTCCACCCTAAACTGCCCCTCCCAGCCAGCCAGATATGTCTGGGGTTCTCACACTTAAAGTGTCTATTTAATTGCAGACAGACAGACTTTATTAGTCCCCTGCTAAGTCACCATTGCATACCTGTCTCCTGAAACTTGATGGTCCCTGTCTACCATATTGGAGATCCGTCAGTCAGAGTAAGTTTTCTAAGTGACCTGGAAGTGCCTTGACTGCACCCTATTTTAGAGGTCAACGGGGGCGTAAGAGTTCGATAGGGCTGAGATGCAATGAATGTTTAAAGTGTTTATGTTTCCCTAAACTAGATAATCTAAGACACACAAACCAAAAGCAATTACCATTATAGAGTATCTTTCTCTGCTCATCCTTTTTTGTGCTAATCACCCTATAAAGGTTCCTTGTTACATTTGAGACAAACATAAATAGAGCATTACACTTCTGAGCTTCACAAAAGACATTCATTCTGCATTCAAATCTCTTTGTTCCAGTATTAGTTACTCTGTCAGAATCTGCGCTATCACTGAAAGCCCACGCCAGAACTCACATCACACAGAGAGCCGTTTATCAAAAGTCATTAGCTAGATCATCTAACCCGGGTGTCAAGCTACAGATCCACCTACACCTGCATCCCACTGCTGTCAGATTAAATGTACTGGGACATCTGGAGATGCTGCTTTAAATAGAAACCAGCAGGTACAATGCTCATCCTTCTTCTGATTTAAGATAGATTTCAAAGGCTCAAAGCCATCTTTGTGACGGCAGATATCTTTTGCAGAAACAGCAAACAAACAACCTCTACATCAATTTTCTCACAAGAAGCCTTGAAGTAGATGGTAGGGATGATAGAAAGAAGAATGAATGCACCCCTTCTGAAGCATTCATGTCTTGGACCTCTGACTTTATAAAAAAACAAACTGAACACCTTATAACAAGAATGAGTTTACCTGGAAACATGATATACACAGGATCTTACCTGGTAGTGAGTCAGCATGTTGAGTCTTTTCCAGTCACCCTCAATCTTTGTCGTAACATCTTCATCCTGAAGGATGACTCGTACTACTCTGCCTTGACGCCATTCTGCAACGAGAACACAAAGTAATTGCATCCAATGTTTAATACTCAGAGTGCAGGAATTCCATTCACATTTATTTGTGAATCGCTTTTTACAATATTGGTTGTTTCAAAGCAGCTTTACAGAATACACAAGTTTTAATGATATGTCATCTGGCCCCAATGAACACGGAACCTCACATTAAATCACTACATTTCTTTTAATCTCTAATTAAAGATATGAACTGTTTACAGAGTGTAATAACTTGTATAGCTGTCTCTGAATATTAATTTGGGATAGGAAGTATTTCAACACAAAAACTACATCAACTTCAGCAAACCACAGCAATTATTTTTCTTTCATTTTTGAAAGAAATATAGAAATATTTTCAATATATTGAGCCACTTTAAGCTTCCACACTCAAGCAAACACAAAGTTATTTTTTGCACATCTTAGTCTTGTACAAAAACCTATTGTGGTGATAAATTTGCTGGTATTTATAGTATATAGTAATCTTAAAAATGGTTCTCTTTCTTCAGCCTTTCTTCAGAAAAAGTGGAGCTAAAAATCTGACTTTTCAAAACTTAAAAATGAAGACATAGGAACAATAGAAGAAAAGAGGTAAGGGACAAAGTCTGTACTGAGAGACAGAAGGAGAAAGAAATGAAAACGAGAGAGAAAATAAGGGTACGTGAAGGAGCATTTGAGAAAGAGAGGAAGGAAAGGAAAGGTAAATTAATCTCTTCTGCCCTTTGTTAGAGAGCCGGGCCTTCGTGACCAGTGGATCGATGGGCGTGATTACAGCCACTGCTGAAAGCCACTTCCTTTTTCATCTGCAGTGGGTCGAGCATCCTGAGCCCAAACGGCCCTGATCGACCACGTTAAGCCTCCTGCTGAGCTTGCTCTTATTGTAGTTACTGAGCTCACTAGTGATGCACAGCAAAATGCGAAGATATTCTCCCACCCTCCCCTCAGCGCCCACCAGCCGTTGTCTGCAGCCTCAGCAAAAACAGCAACATGAAACGGCAATGAGATGGGAATCAGCGCTGAATGAAATAAACATATCCCTTTGCAATGTGATGTACGGATAACATGGCCAGGAACAAGAGAGATGTCTCTCTCATTCTTTTTTTTGGGCTCCCCTCTGTTGCAAATGAATGTATGATTGGAATGCTAGAGGAGTGAGGCCTCTTCAAGCCACCTGCTGCTACCTTTCGCTCTGATCCCAACCAGAAAAGCAAAACAGCAATCATAGGCAAGATGATGAAACATGTCTCTGGGTGATGAGAATAACTTCAAATCTCCAGGAGAGGCCCGACCATTGTTTTATATCTCACTACAGTACTGTCTATAAACATGCAAATGAGCCTTGATTCCAAGTGCAAACAGAAAAGTAAACAGAGAGAAGAATAGAAACTAAAAGAAAAAATTAACTGAAAGAAAAGAAAACTAGAAGAGCAAAACATGAAAAGAAAAAAGTCTAAATGAAACAGTATGACAAAACCTAAAAACACAAAAAAGAAAAAAATGACTAAAAACAACAAAAAAGAAAATGAACTTAATAAAAGACTAAAAGTGAAATGAAAAGGACAGAAAATAATTCAAAATATTTAAGACAGAAGCAATGTAGCTGGATAGAGAATAAAGCCAAAGAGAGTTAAAATAGAGACTGAGATGGGCTGAAGTGCATTGATTTATCTGCATCACTCTCTCATTCTTTCCCTCTATCTTCCCTCCCTCCATCCCTGCCCTCAGGGGACTGTGACAGAGAGAGTTAAAAACAGAGGCAAGGGACAGAAACACTCCGGTCCAATCAGTCTCAGAGGGATCGAGGAGATGGAGGCTACCTCATTCCTATTACCCATTTTCTTTATCTGGCCCCCATATCAGGGCCAGAGAGTGTGCCGGGGCTCAGGAGACCCTGAGATCCGTTTACGGAATACCGAGATGCTTCCTCTCATCCGGGGATGCCCATTGCGTTATCATACAACACACTCGCACACACTTCCACAGACATCATCCAATTCTCCCCCCTAATAAAACAATAATAAAACAACATGCTTGCCCTCCGGGGCCCATAAAAGCATTTTACACAGGAGAGTTTATTTTTTTAAACGAAATTATTTCTTCACTTTTCATGGTTCCATTCCCTTATGGATAGACTAGTGTTAGGCTATGACTTGAGAAATGTTATTTGTTATGTTATTTTTGCCAAAAAATAAAACAAAATAAAACAGTGCAGTCCAGGCTAGTGTACAGAATAAACAATCAGATTCTCATTTGTGGAAAAATAGATCTGCAGAGATAAGCCTGGCTATTTTTTCCCAGTAACTGTGAGATGTTCCCACCTGTCAATTAGGTGTGTATAAATAAACTCACATACTGTCACAGCTGATATTTATTTATCAGCATGTATGTTTAACACATGCATGGAGGCACGAATAGCTTAGTGTTTACAGTGCTGGGGTTGTAATGAGTTGGTTGCCTGTTCAAACTCCAGAAACCAGGACTGATGAACTTTAAAGTTATTGGCATCTTCAATGAACTTCATGCTCTTTAAGGGATAGTTTGACTAAAAATGTTAAATTCTGTCATCACTTATTAACCCTCATGTCATTCCAAACCTGCATGATATTTTTCTAACAAACACAAAGGGGTTGGTGGTATGAATTTTTTTTTTTCAAAACATCTTCTTTTAATAACAGAATTTTCCATTTTGGAATTCTTTAAGCAAGAAAGCTTACTGTTGTCGGTTGGAGAATGTAAAACCTGAATTACAATCCAAAAGTTACTGGCTCAAACACCAGAAAAGCCTGTTCATGTAATCAATAGTTACTGGCATGTTCTAGTTTACCTTTAATCAAAACTAAACCCAGAGAAGACGAATAAGACACTTAATTTTAGGGTTTTTAAGGTGGACTGTCTTTGACAATGTATTGCAAGTGGCTTTGGATAAGGTGGTATCTGGCAAGTAACAAAATGTGCAGTTTGGAGTTGGAAGGCATATGTACAACATAACTGTAGTTCCAAAGGTATGGAGTTCAAATTCCAGAAGAGACATGGATCCTCAATGGGCATTATGTGATTGTGTAAATCACTTAGCTTTAGGTGCATTGACCCTGCTTTATCTCATGTCTCTTTGGATAAAAAGTGTATGCCAACTGTTTTTGCTAGTGGAGTTTTTTTTTAGGAATTGGGCTAATAATCCGAAGGTCAGTGGTTCGAATCCAAAAAGGGGCAATTTATGGACTTATTGGAACCTCTATCACGATTATGCCCTAGCACCCTGTTTGTTAAATTACAAATAATAGATTTTAAGTAAGGCCAATATTGATATAATAAGTACCAATCACCTTAATTTGACCCATCATTCTACAAATGTCAATGTCACTGATTCACACATTAAATCTCTCGACCAGGGCAAATGAAGGGCTGATGAGGAAAACAGTTCTTAAAGGGTAAAGGCAGCTAATGTTAGCATAATGCTGGTCATACCTAGGTCCATGTCAGAGGCTTTTGGTCGGTGCGAGTAGGGGACGTTCTTGTAGATGGCATCCAAGATCTTCTCCTTCACCTGGCTGATGGAGTCACAGTTCAGCACCTTCACCTGCACCTCTGGGCTCTTCTCATTGTCTGGATGCAAGCAGTTCACCACCTACATGACAGAACAAAATTACACCAATTAGCACACGTGTGGGAGACACATGAATATTTATGTGGCTGTAAAATGATCTTTCTGCATGATTTAAAATGTATTGAGAGTTTAAAGAATGCTAAAATGCATCCGTGTATGTGAGCCGAATAACCAATAGAAAAAAATGTTATGTTAAAAGGTTTAATCAAGCCATACAGAGAGCTTGTAACATGTACAGTATATCTACTGAGGCCTGTGTTCACAACATATCTCAGAGTGGCTGTTCTAGGATCTATGCTTAACACCTAAAAGATTGTACTCTGATGGATGACAGTCATCCAGTCAAACCTTTAAGGTGTGCTACTGAATGAGTGAACATAGTCAGCAGGTGTAACGGTGCAAATGTAAAAGCCCATTGGCCACCCTGAGGGAGCCGTCACTTCACTCACCTCAGCCTACAAAAGTATGCAATTAACACACTAATAATCTTTGTACCGGTTAGATTCTCTGTCTCCCATGATAACTGTCATTAACGCCACCACCAGTACCGTCGTCATCATCATCAGATGTAATTACATAGCTCAAGTTGGTATATAAATGCTGCAAAGATCCTTGTTGGCATCTGTTATGATAAAATACCCACACACTGCAAAAGAGCTCATTTACTTACAGTCCAGCAGTATGCTGATTGGTCAATATAAAACAACCTCTCCATATCTTGCCAGGGAAGGCAGAATGTGCTATTGGTAGTGGCTTGTATTGTGGCGAGTCTGAAGCCATTTAAGTGTTTTGGAAGTGAGGACAGAATGATGAAGCTGAAACGGCTCCTACAGTCATTAAATCAGTGCGGCGTTCAAAGGAATGGGTCGGATGCCAAGAGATGACACTAGTTGCCACATTTTACTTTTTCTTCTCTTAGTCTCACACAGAATACAGATTACCCTCCTGACGTGCTGTACCAGTAAACAGCCCGTCCTGGCATACATGCGGCCCTGACAACACAGGCTTAGCTCATGCCTGTCACAGTGACCAGCCAAACACAACACTGCCAATCACCACAGGACAGCAGACAGGTCAAAGGTCATAACAAACCTGTGTGTTCCCTGTCAGGCGTGAAGACTGTGGGCATTGCATGCTGCGTCAACCCAAACAAATTACCTTACCCTTCTCTCTACCTCCACACCTGTCTTCTTCTGAATGCTTTCACACTCCTTAGCCTCTTTCTCACCCATTTATCCTTGTCTTTTTCTTCATTCCTATTTTAGTTTACTCCTTTCATTCTCTATCCTTCCAAAACGGTTCCTCTTTCCTTTCTTCATCCACATTGTGGTTCAGAGCCTTACCAGAGTCTTGTAATCAATTTGCTGTCTGATGAGCTTGTCTTCACTGAGTGAGTAGCGGGCTTCTCCGGTGATAGAGTCGATGGGGCCTTTTTCCATTTGTTGCTTTATGGCACAGAATAGAGAGAAGAGGGGCTCCCCGGCACACTCCTAGACAAGGGAAAAAAAGACACTGTCACTTTCACTCTCTTAAATTTCACACCAACCACCTACAGAGAACGTTGGCTGTCATTCCCTCATTCAGTAATAGACATTTTGAAAGGAGCTTTACAGTCGTGGTGCTAGTGTGTCAATTTCAACTGATTCAACAATTTCACTTATATGGATTCCAGTAATAGTTAAGCTCGATCCCTGGTGGACAGATAAAGACAGAGCAAGGACCCACTGTTAAATATTGCATAAAGTGTTGCATTTTTAGCCTGGCTTAAAATTATGTACCATAATAATGTATTTACATACTTTGTACGATTACATTTACACCACAAAGCCATTAAAATAATCTCTATACATAAAGATCAAACAACAATTGGTAGACCCCCTGTTAAAGATCGCTGAGCTAGAAATTAAGCTGAAGTGCAGTGTCTCTAGCTGAATTTGAGCAAAATTTGCTTGTTGAAATGAGAAATGGACAGTAAAACCAACTAGTGGTCTGGGCAGCTGGTCAAGCACTGTTCAATAATACTCAAATCAATGTGCTGTGACTACAATAATAATGTTATGGTTTTGCATGGATGAGGTCACAATAAAGTCCTTCTCTTACAGTAGAGTCCAATTTGAGCTTAAATGAATCCTGAAGCTCTCGAGTGATGTTTCGGCTTCATTCACTCAGGTCTAATCCGTTAAACCAGACTGGACTAAACAGCCTTGACTTCCAGAGTTTATTGCCTGCTTTGTACATTTCAGAATTCAGGAAATTTCTGTACACTTGCAAAATTGCACATCATGTTCTGATTGCAGCAGATGTGTTTATTAAGAGATTAATGACAAGTGCTAGAGAGGACTGCGGTGGTGCTGAAGGTCACAGTGCTATATGTAGAATTGAGCAGCACCTGCTAAGCTGACTGTCTCATTATAGGAACAGAAAAACTGCAACAGTCAGCAAGACTTGGCCAATTTTCAACCCTCTTTGATTAAAGGGGTCATATGATGCGATTTCAAGTTTTCCTTTCTCTTTAGAGTGTTACAAGCTGTTCGTGAATAGATAAGATCCCTAAAGTTGCAAAGACTAAAGTCTCAAATCCAAAGAGATATTCTTTATAAATTTAAGACTCGTCCACGCCCTCCTAAAACGCCTCGTTCAAACACGCCCCCACATGTCTACGTCACGATGTGGGAAGATTTGCATAACGCCACCCAAATGTTCACGCAAAGAAAGAAGGCGTAACTTTATTGTTGCTACCACCGCTGCCACCATGTTGTGAAGACGCTGTGTGTTTCGTTGCGAAAGCAAAAATACTTTGTTTGGCCTTCCAAAAGAGGACACGGCTAGAAATCAGTGGTTAAGTTGTATTTACAACACTGTTCCAGAACAGTTCAACCCAAATATTCAGATTTGTGCAGCACATTTTATGGAGGGCTGTTTCCTGATCCTGGTAGAGTAGAGTAGACTACAATGCCGGCTGTTCTGACTCACAGTCTGTAAGTACGTTTTCATATTTAAAGAATTTGCCACTGACGATTCAAACGCGAGTTTTGAGCAGTGTAGAGTAGCTTTTGTTGTTTGTCATTTCATTTCACATTTCACTCCGATCACAAATGCAGACATGGTTTTATGTTTATGCGGCGCGATGCAACACTACACTTAAAAAGACAGTATAAGTCATTATAATCTGTAATTATGTCCCCACTGGATGCAACAAATGCCTCGTTTATAATGGGTTTTATTGGTTTTGTCTCATCACGCCGGGACACAGCATCACAGTATGTGAGGGGCGTAACATTTCCGTCACACGCTTGAGGTATTCAGCCAATCACAATGCACTGGATAGCTGGCCAATCAGAGCACACCTCGCTTTTCAGACCGATGAGCTTTGTAAAAGCTGTTTCAGAAAGGCGGGGCATAGAGGAGAAACAATAATGTACAGTATGTGGAAAATAATGTGTTTTTTTAACCTTAAACCGCATAAACACATTTCATTACACCAAATACACAAAATAATGTTCTTTTTAGCAACATCATATGGCCCTTTTAAAAGTGCATGCAGGCACACTCACATACAGATGTACATACACACCTACACATATTCATACACAAGACACACACACTCTCTCTCTGTCAAACACCTGCAGTGCATCACTGCCAATGCTCCCGCAGGACTTCATTTGACTCCTCTGTGCTCAACAGTGCATGTGCCAAATGACCTTGAAGGTGACTGATCTCTTTTCTTTGCATATCGGCCAACCACTAATCTGAATATTCTTCAGCAATTTTAATGGTTGATTCTTAATTATTACACTTTGGCCTCCCAGACCGGAATATGTGTTAACGCACACACAACTTATCCACACACAGAACACGGACTTACCTTGAGGAATTTGTATAGCAGAAAAGTGAACCAATTTGTGAGCATTTTCTCAGCCACAGACTCTGTTCTGGAAAACAAACAAATAAACAGAGTAAATAAATAAATAAATAAAAACAGCACAAAGCCACGATTATCACTGTGAGTGTCATGCACAAATGCGATTACCATGACCATGAAAAATTAACTTCACAATGGACGGTGTCTCCTAATGAATAGGACTTTGTTAAACAAATGCAATTGCTGGAACATGAATTGCGCTCTGGAATCTATAGCCCCAATCTGCAGGCTGTCTTTATTACCACAATAATCCACGAGACCCTAATACAAGAAACACAATTAAAAGCCTTAATATGATCCGGCTGGATTGATGCCAAGTGAACCTACTCTGTCCTGGAATTAAACCGGACACATTTCCTCCCCCCCACAGTCCGACCATTGAGCTTGAAATGGATCCCGTTACAATAGAAGGTGGCTGAGGGTGGATCTGGCATGAGAGATGTACATACATAATAACTATAACAAAGTGAAACTCAATATACATAGATCCGGTGTCTCCAGCCTGTGTGTGCCGCAGGGAGCTGGTGAATTGCCAAGGCGCCCTGCAATGAGCCAGGGCACAGAGCATCAATATTTCAGGATTACAGCATTGTGATGTGTGTGCATCTACGCCTCCTCTGCCTCCCTGTATCCCAGCTGCCACCAGCATTCCCTCTGTCCCGCTGCCATATTGAGACTTGCCGCTGTGCAGTACCGTGTGTACATGTGCATGTATGTGTGCCTGCATGTGCCCGCTAAGATGGAGCAACACCAGGAAAGGATTAGTGGACCTTGTTTTGTAGCCACTGCCTTGAGTGAGCCAAAGGAGGACAGGTCCAGGGGTCAACAGGGTCACATTTCATTTTCCTTTCATCTCCATCCTAACACTGCCCTGTAATCATCCTCACTCCGACTGTTGTCAATGCCTGGACCAATTACAAGAGAAACTGTAGGTGAAAAACAGATAAAGGAAGAAAACAGCTTTTCGCCACCTTTTCGCCTTGGTGTACTGTTATTCCCATTAGCTTTCTCTTTCTTGCACTATCGGCTGGTTTGATGGTAATTATTGTTGGCAAGACCCCATAAACTCACTTACCCATATCATGTGTTACCTCTCGGCTCACCGGAGGGGGAATAAGTAGCCTCACTGCCAGACAATCCTGGCACAACCTCTCCATAACTTTGCCACAGCGCCAAGAGCAACCAACTATCACTGTCCCCCAAATCCTTACGTCACATATCACTGGCACAGAGAGCAAGTGCTTGTTTGGCTTTGGTTTAGGGAGGCAGGAAAAGTGTGCCCATCCAGCGGTGAGGAATGGGATATAGGCAGCACCTGGTGCTTAGTTCCCCCTGATTAAGCAGCCATTTCAACGTGGAACGAAGTAAAATCTGCTGGAGGATTCCTCCACGCCGAATGTGCAAAGAGGCACTTTGGAGCTACGCTTCATAAACAAGAGGAAGAGGGAGAGGAAAGAGCTCCATATATCTTCTTCATCATCTCTCGCATCCAGCAAAGGCCATTTACATTTGATGCTGCTTTCTGCCACTGCAAATGGATGTGAACAGCCAGCTCTGCCAACATCGAGGACCTGAGAGTGGTTTATGATTCCAGAGACCCTGCAAAAATGAGAACTGTCACTCTATGACAGATACTGCACTGCAAATGTGTGTTGTATGCAGAAAAATTCATCTCGTAAACAAGTTCATAGATTTAACGGTGTTGCTAAGCGGTGGCGTTGACTGAGTAAAGGTTTTACTGAGAGTTAGTCTCAGCCTGCTATGAAATTGAAACTATGCTTCAGCTAAAAGCTGGCAATGGGCTGACGTTATTTACCTTGCAGCATCATAGGCTTTATTTTCTTAACCAAACAATCGTCTACTGAAACAAACTCCCGGTATGCCCCCCTCTTTAATGCACATGTGTTGAAGAACGCAGCTTGAAGCCAGGAATAATTTCAATTTCGCACTCCGCCTCACGTGGAGAAGATTGTCCGCTCAGCACACTGTTGGGTCCTGCTGCGTAACCATGGTCCCCATTCACTAAGGATTATCCCCAGAGAATAATCACAGGACTTCTATTTAGCTCTGCCTGACTGTGTGTGTGTGTGTGTGTGTGTGTGTGTGTGTGTATGAAAGTGTGTACGAACGTGTTGGTCAGTAAATGTCTGAGTAATAATATGTGTACGAGCGTATGCAGGAATAGGAGACTTCACTGATGCCATACATATAGAGAAAACAGGCTACATGATCTGAGAGGTTATTTTTATTTGTAGACGAGGAGAGTGGGCTGCAGGGAGCGAGGGAGAAGGAGAAATACGACAGATGGTTCTAGAAGCTGCCTGTTAGTTAGTTAGCCTGTGTGTGCTTGTGAACTCAGGTTGAGGCTGGACAGATGGGGCAGCCGTCGCAAGCGCTTTCTTGGAAATGGGGAAATGAAAGCTGGTTGGAGGCTTCTGCCAAAGATGTCCTGCTTCTCTGCATTTTAAACACAGATTTAGAAATCATGCAGTGAAAGAGAGACAAGGATGAGAAAATTATTCTCAGACAACAGATTAAGCTTCTCTGTTCTGGCCCAGTGTTCTGTGTCGTGTATCGTGTATCAGGTGCTGGAGGTCAGACAGGTTCCATGTGATGAAGATCGCTCTATATACCCATAAGGGTCTAATCCATTGAAAGATATGGACTAAAACAGTGCTTCTCATCTGGAGGATCACAAACCAAAAATTAACAAATACAAATAACCCAACATAAACAAATACTATTTTTGCATATCGTTGGGTCTAAGCAGTCCATGGTGATTTTAATAAATGTCAGTGTTTCATTTTAATGATAATTTGTATAAAATAAATAATTTTTGTATTATGTTGAATCTGGAACCTGAAGCAAAACCCGTTGAGAGCCACTGGACTACAGGTCATGATGGGACATTGTAGCAGACATCCATCTCAAAGTGCAGATGTTTCATGTGCATACAAAAAGGTGACATGGTTGGTTTTGTTTCTGACAGAAGCCTGACTGAAACAAAGAAAAATCTATTTTATTTTCCACCGTTAATATGTACAGCAGGTCTTTATGCAATTAATCTTCCCTTCACTTGTTTCAATTAATCATGCCTGCCATCAAGGGTGTTGAATCAGTTATGATTCAGTCAGGGAGCTCCTCTTGTAGTTACATGATCAGCCTATCGCTATTAGCAAGCTTGTTTTGACCAATACATAATTAAAATTTTGTAATCCATGTCATTATTTTGCTCTGAAAGCACTATTTTTTCAGAACAGTAGTTTCAAATAGCAAAAATATCAGAAGTGTCAGACAACAAACCTTACAAATCAATTGCTAGAACATTAAGAAAAATTCAAGAAACATTAGAAGTTTTCAAATGAGCGGAGAAAAATCTATATGGTATAGTAATAATATTGTCCTCTATGCTGTTAGAATACAGAGATACAAAGGAGTTGATTGCATGGGGAATTGAGGTCCACATATCTCCCTATATTCAGTAGTTTTTTAGTGCACTGTTAATTGGATCTCAAACTAATTAATCCTAATTACCATTTAATGATGAGCATGTCAGTGGATTACATGTTTGGGGGAGAAAGTGTGCATTTTGAGTCCCCAAATGCAATTATTCCCATTCAGTGTACTGTAGAGTCCACGTATGAAAGACAATTCACAGAGGTCATCTGCTCTTGTCTATGAAGTTGATTTTGCTCTGAAAGCACTATTTTTTCAGAACAGTAGTTTCAAATAGCAAAAATATCAGAAGTGTCAGACAACAAACCTTACAAATCAATTGCTAGAACATTAAGAAAAATTCAAGAAACATTAGAAGTTTTCAAATGAGCGGAGAAAAATCTATATGGTATAGTAATAATATTGTCCTCTATGCTGTTAGAATACAGAGATACAAAGGAGTTGATTGCATGGGGAATTGAGGTCCACATATCTCCCTATATTCAGTAGTTTTTTAGTGCACTGTTAATTGGATCTCAAACTAATTAATCCTAATTACCATTTAATGATGAGCATGTCAGTGGATTACATATTTGGGGGAGAAAGTGTGCATTTTGAGTCCCCAAATGCAATTATTCCCATTCAGTGTACTGTAGAGTCCACGTATGAAAGACAATTCACAGAGGTCATCTGCTCTTGTCTATGAAGTTTACTAATTAGAATCAGGCAGATTGAAATTATCCCAAAATTTAGAACATTGAGAACACTTGAGGAGTATATATAATCAGTAAAACCCATTGGACTGCAGGACTAGATTTTTTAGATGGCTCTTCATGTGCAATGTGTCTTAGTACCTTCTGAGTAAGAGTTTGGGATGGTTCTTGCTTTCCAGGTTCTTGTCAATGAGGTCAGACAGCAGGTGTTTGAGCACATCCGTTGCATACTCTAGTTTACTTTGCAAAACGGTCATGATCAAGGAGGCGACGTTGCCGCGGTCTCGCATGGAGAAGCCTCTCTGAGACTCAAGAGTTCGGATGAAGGACAGCAGGAAAACCTTGTTGTTGATAAGCTGTCCAAACAGTTTTAGGCCCTTCTCCACCTGTTCCTGTCTGTAACCTGGCACCTGCAGAAAAAAATTTATAAATAAAAACACAAAACAGGAAAACAGTGGTTACAAACAGATGACATTTCACAACCTGAATGTGATAATTCATCAGCATATTTATTAAATAAATAATCAAAATTGACACCATTTGTTTTCTTATTTTTCAAATATTTTAATACGTTCTTATTTTGCACAATTTATTAGTGCAAGTCGTTTTATTTCAGTTGTTACATTTATTAGTATTGTTTGATAAATTAAAACCAAGTCCTACTCTATATTTTTTTTCTCTCATTGAATGTCTCGTTTAAATCAGAAATGCATCCAATAATGACATATTTCATGTCGACTTTAAGTAGCCTTCACTTCATAACTAAGCAACTCAAGACAACTGTCAAATTTTATTTTTGTCATGTTTAAGAATGCTCACTTAAACTTCAGCTTGGCTTAATTGACTGAAAAGCTTTTTCAATCCTCTCATATGGCCTACGGCATCCTCTGCTAGTGTCCAATGAAACACCCACAGGCATTTAAACAGAAGAGAACCAAACACATTAAACAAATAAAAAACAAACCTAAAGCCAAACAAACCAGGATACAAATGAACAGTTTACATGTAATAAAAGCTGCTCACTGGGTTAAGATGCATTCATTGTGCTCTTAGAATACCCGATGACAAACACTTAACCATGCAGAGACCTCATGACATCATTTGATGTAATTTGCCTCATCAATAATCATTAAACACCTGTCAGAATCTCGAGACGGCTCCTGTCATTAGCTGTGATTTTACAATAAACTTTTCCAGAGAGAGGGGACGTTTATTCCAATTAAGTATTAATTGATATAGCTCCGCTGGCATAAGCAGGTAAGGTATGGCTCATATGTTGGCTGAAAAAATGTGTGTGATACAATTAAAACTGTCCATCACTGTCATAGCAGGGCGTAAATAACCCGTAGCTTGGTGTACCCTGCGTTAGATTTTAATTCTGTTCTCCACACTCTGAAAAAAAACTGTCGAGTAGCATGTCATTACTGTTATTAATGAAAGACTGATTGTGAATCAGAGAGCAGCTCATTACTTTAAGAAAAAAATGAGCCAGAGAGAGAGAGAGAGAGAGAGAGAAAGAGAAAGAGCATGCATGTAGATTATAATGAGAGCTGCTGCCTTTTGTTTACTGAGGGTAAACACAAACAGCATAGTGACAGCTTTAATTCCCAACAACCCCACTGTGCTGTTATTCCTTCAGAATCGAAAAACAGAAAGAAAAATATATATACTTAGCAGCCATTATTGTGACTGTTCCTCATACAGGTACAATGTGCAGTAATTACATGCATATATGAATATGCAAATATATTCAGGTACATCTCAGAAACTCAATAAAGGGCCCTTTGGATGCAAATGTGTTATTTCACAAAACATTTTTGCATCAATAAAATTGTTAGGTTACCTCCAGGTCTCTAAGGACAGGGTGCTCTTCGATGCCAGGGAACAAAACTCGCATGGTGTATGTGCGGTAGTCCAAGAATGGAATACCAGCTCCGTCCAGGTCGCTGGTCAACTCATGAATGTCTGTCTGCAGCTCTGCAAATGCTGTGGAAGATTGAAAACATGAAGAACAAATAGGCTGATATCACTAAACTACATACTGCTATGTGTATGTCTGTATGTATGTATGAAGTATTCTGATTTTTGTTAATGGATTGTAAAAATTTGAGCAAATTCTGACCAATAATCTGGAGTGACATCCCTTTTTTAAACCACTTCCCGACTACTTACCTTCTTTACACTCCAAGGCTACTCTGGACTCCAGGTTGTCCATCTGCATCTGCAGGCGCTTGAGAGTGAGGTCACTCTCACGGGATTTGCGCTTGTAGGCAATGAGGACAATGACGATGAAGAAGATGAGGAGGCCTCCTGCCCCAGCAATGCTAATAACGGCAGTGCTACTGAGGGGGCTGTCAGAGGTAATGTGGACCACACCTGGCGAAAACTCAATGCCCCCAACACGTGCCTAAAATGGAGCACATTTTGTGAAGATTTGAATGAAACCAATACTTTGTAGTAGGTAAAGTCTGGTAGCTAAATCTGGTAGTCAGTAACCTGAGCAACCATTCGAAGAAGATCAAAATACATCTAAAGATTTACATCTATAAATTATATTTTATTTGATGTCATTGTGTCATAGTAAGGCCAATGCCCCAACAGCAGAGGGGAAAAATGTGTCAATTCCTTTTTAGGGATGCTCCGATCTGCCTTTTTCACCTCCGATACCGATTCCGATACCTAGGGTTCAGTATTGACCGATAACGATACCGATCCGATATCAGAGAAGTTATTTTTTTTTCCATTTAAATAAATGTAGAATTTATATATCTCTATGTGTGGAACTGATAATAATTCTTTCACAATCTACTAAATACAGACTACTTCACTATAAGGAAAAATAAATAAATATATTTATATATCATATCAATAAATATCATATCAATAAATATGAAAAAATATATGTATATTCATAATCTTAGTATTGAAATAAAATAAAGTTATTCTAGAAAAATCAGTGCACAATAATTTTAGAAATCCAAACATTTAGTGAAAAAACAATATTTTGTGGGGAACAAATAAAAGTGTTGCATTACATATGGTAAAATGTTACACATTGCTATTTGCATTATAAAATCCATTAATGAAAAACGTATTTAGAATGTATTTATATATAGAATATACTATAAAATACATTTATTTTAAATGTATAGCATATTTTTTAATAAGGCAACAACATATGCTAGATTTGATAGGACAAAACAAATACAGTGCGCCATGAAGCACTTACAATGTACGCATCCGATGTGCAGAATGATGTGCTTGAAGCAACACGGAGTCACAGCACACAGCGCTTTGCATTAAAAAGTGCAAAGCACAAAGGGAAGAGAAATTGATGCATAGTGTATTATATCTGTGCAACAGTTATTGAGCCTTTCTTTTAACAGTTTTAAATTTCGGTTATGTGCGCTTTAAAAATCAATTTCTAGTCTTTTCTACGCCCTTGTTTTGTTCTCACAGACACCCGGTAGCAAGTAACAAAACAACATTAAACTCCGGCAAGAAGATAAAGTCCTTTTTGCAAAATCATAGACATTTATTTACAAATCAAGTATAATAATGGGAACACAGAATGATCTTGGACAGAGCTTTACCGAGCTGACTGTTGTAACGGAATGCGACCAGGGTTTAAAGGCTGAACGAATGACTGACAGCCAAAGCGGAGAAAAGAGTTTGTGTGAACTTTAATGTAAGGACTTAAATATTCATATGTAGCTCACATTAAAGGTATACAGTTTCTACATGTATTTACGCTTTGATTTGAATGAAAACAGTGCATCCATGCAGCGCGGCTGACACAGAAGAGCGTACGCTGCTTGCATTTAGTGGATACTCTCCAAAATGGCGCTACGGTGATGCGGAGAGACACAGAGGAGACAAATTGTTGAATTAAGTCGTTATTTTTGTTTTCTTCGCATACAAAAAGTATTCTCGTCGCTTCATAACGTTATGGTTGAACCACTGATGGCAGATGGACTATTTTGACGATGTCTTTCATACTTTTCTGGACCTTGACAGTGTAATTTACTTGGCAGTCAATGGGACAGGCACAAGCCTCCCGGTTTTCATCCAAAATATCTTAAATTGTGTTCCGAAGACGAACAAAGCTTTTACGGGTTTGGAACGACATGGGGGTAAGTGATTAATGATAACATTTTCATTTTGGGGTGGAGTAACCCTTTAAGTTTTTGTATGGCTTCAGAAGTAACACAGAATAATACGCACAATCTCGGATTTGGATTGGCCCTATCTGACCAATACCCGATCCGACAAAAAATGGTAGTGAATATCGGATATTATATATGAATATCGAATATTATATATGAATATCGGATCGGCACATCCCTATTCCTTTTGTGAGTTCATGGTTGTAAAGGTCTGTGGCATTTTCTCTTTTACGACTGTCAACAAGCAGGCAGTGAAACAAGCAGCCACCCAGAGTACCCATTGAGAAAAAAAGGTTTTGTTAGGGTATTCAGCTCTAATAAGTCTTATTGGGGATGTATTTTCTATTTCTCTGTCAGTCTCTCAGAAAGTTCAATAACCGCAAAGTCCCCAAAGCATTAGTTCATGGTGAAAAGGGGATATGAGCCCCAGTATTCAGCAACTTACCAGAACCTTGTGGCGTCCAGTCAGATTGGGCGATTCGCATAGCAGTTGAGTATCTGATACAGTTAAGGTGCAAGGTTTGTCTCCAATCAGAACAGTGTAGTTCAGTTTCCCGTTGCCACCCGGGGCTGGAGGGAGGAAGTTTCTACCCTGCAATTCACATTCACAAAATGTAGCAACTGCAATAGACAATCAAAAGACCAACAATGCTGAGATTTAGGTAAATGTTTGATTTACTTTGAGAATGATGGGGGACCCTGGCTTGAGTTCCTGGACCCCAGACACACTGAGCGGTTCAAACACTGGATTTGGGTAGTAGATAAAGTTGGTGTTGTTGAGGGCCAGCACAGACTGAACATTGTCCAGGATGAAGCCAAACTCATCAGGTCTCTCTGGCAATTCCTTCTGCCTGCTTAGACTGTAAGGAAGCTCTGGGGCCATGCACTGCATAGTGGTGGGACTCAGAACCTGACATATCTGGTAGGGGAAAATAGATAACACTGAAACGTTCAATAAGTCATTTGCAGTCCATGTGCAATTCAGAATAAAACAGAAACATTTAGATTCAGATTACAACTATACTGCATTTACATTACAAACAATAATTCAAATTAAGGCTGTTTTAATCAGTTATGCCCAGATAAAAAGACCTGGATTTAACTTTAACTTCCTACAAAACAGGTTAATATATAGATATGAATTACATATAATTTGTCTCAACTAAAAGCAGCACTAAATTATTGGCACTTTTAAAATGGCCACACTTTGATTGTGCCTGCAGTGCTGGTGACTCACCAACGGATAACTAACTGCACTTTATCTTTGCTTCCCTGAGAGAGATTTGACATTGTCATCTCTCCTTGACTCTCTGTCTGTGTTCATCTCTCTTCCTTCTCTCACATAGGTCACATACACATACTGCAGCTCAATGCGGTTGTCAGGCCTTTAAGTACTTAATTTGATTCTGTACACATCATTATTTACAGGAAGTCAGTGTTTCTCAGCCCAGTTCTTTTACTTTTCTTATTAACAGGTCATGTTTATTAAATCTAAAGTTATGGCATAGGTTTAATCAAACCTATATATACTTTCACTTTGAAGTGTATAAATAAAAGCCAGACAAGACCCTTGAGTTTTGTGAACCCACACTGCTTTGCAGTTGGCTGTTAAAAAACCCAGACAGCAGACTCGTCATCAAAAACATCCCTACAGATATCTCCAGTCATTTTAATTGGATTCCTCACAAAACTGTAGCAGCCAGGCAGTTGAACCTTCACTTCCTCTAACACAAAGACTTCTATAGAAGTTCGTAACAGGTGGAACTATCAAGATAAAAAAGATTTCAGGTCACCATATTTTTCAGAGCACAAAGTCTGGTCAAAATCTTTTCAGACTAGTTATGAGCGATCGCATTACAAACAAGGATATGAGACGTCTTGTGCCCAACAAACAACTTCATTTAAAGACTGCGAAGTAGGGTATGACTTTTTTTCTGCTGTGCTTTGAGGAGCAGTGTGCCAAAGCCTAATCATATCGCAGCCCAGATGCTAAACGCGGCCATGTGTGAGATACGTGCACAAGATAACATTACGATCTTTTGTCTCTGTTGCCTTTCAATCAGATCTCACTGAGTGCAGCCTCCCATGGCTCTGTGGGTCCATTCTAAAGACGGGGAACATGATACCCTTGTCTATGCATCCACCCTGTGTTACGGCATTCTCCTCTTTCCTGCACAAAGGGAACATTGCTGCCACTGCTGTGGAGACCTGGCAGCTTTCCTGTTCTCTGTCTGTTTATTTGTCTCTCTCTCTTTCTTTATTTCCTTCTTTTAGGCAGCTACTGTCCTGGATCCAATGGTGCGCAGCTGACACAGGTGATTGGAGCAGGGGGAATAGTCTGCTAACGGTCATTCCAGTTCACTAGTCTCAGGTTAGGTGAAGGCCGAGTGATCGTTTACTGTGGAAAACGTTTGCACTTACGTTGACCGTCTCCAAGTTCTTATACTTGGCTCTGATGAGAGGAGTCTGGATGATGTCCAGGTTTGTCCCAGTCACAGTCACTGGTGTGTTGCCACTGTGAAAACAAGACCATATTTGTTAACTTTCACTTTGTGCAGTTCCTTAAAATAATCTTAAGATAAAATTTTTTAGTTTAACATCAACAACACATTGACTTTTAACCAATTATATTTAATTTGAACAAATTAAAAATTATATATAGAAATAATTTTCTTGATCCTCCACCCTCATCGCAGGTTCTGGGGCAACATTATGGGTTGTTTCCCCAACAGCCCCGTCTTAACTGGCTTTGTAGTGCACACACACCTGAAAATGCTCCACTCGGGTTCAAGTTTGGTGATAGTGGGGTCCTCCACATACTCAAACTTGAGATCTTTGTGAATGTGGGCTTTATCCACGAACACTGATACAGACACATTTCCGTAGCCTTGCATGGAGGCGTGAGAACGACATGTTATCCACTGTCCTCCTCTCCTGTTTCATCAAAAAGAAAATAAATAGTGTATGAATAGATGTTCTTTGCATTTTTTTTTATATTTGAAAGATTAAAACTAAATTAACCTTTAAATTAAAAAAAAATTTAAAGGTTAAATTGTCTCTCCTCCTTTGTTATCATTATAAGTGCATTGTTAATTGGTTTTGTATTATTAAAGATTTGGTTTTGTTGGTTTTATGTGGCTGTATAGAGTATTCAGCATACTAGACCTAATTTAATCTTCTGCTCAAATGATCAGACACTGTGGTTGTACCTGATGCAAGACTAGAGTGATGGCTATTGATGTTATTGATTAAAGATCAGAAACTCTCAAGCTCTTAAGATCAGTATTGAATTTTTTTGGTGGTTTGAATCTGCCAGAGGCTTTGAATGACTGGCAAACTAACCAGAAAGGATGATGACATCTCAAAGGGCAATGCTCTGTACCTTTCCATTCAACCCTACCTTTGATAGGTGCACTTCTGGTCTTTGAACATGATTGACACATTGCTGCCCGCGTCCAGGTTGCTGCCGGTGATGTTAACTATGGTGCCCCCAGATACTGGCCCTCGGTTTGGCTTTAAACTCGACAATCTAGGGATCTGTAGAAATCAAGGTCAAAAAAACCAATGTGAATTATTTACAAGCACACACATCACATGACAGAGGTGAGGCAGCAATCCCTCATGTTTTTCTTTCCTCTGTATCTTTTTCCCAATCTGATTATCACCTCCTTTTCTCAGAACACCAATTGCCCTCCTCACCCAGGAATCACATAATCTAATTACTACATCTGAATGAGACATAAAAGCTATTAATGTTTGCATAAAACCTGCTATAAAATGCTATATAACTGGAAAAATTACACTGCAGCTTAATTCATTTGGATGGCTGGATCGCAATCTGATTATGGGTGTTATATCAGCATGTGCGCTGGAAGTACTAGAAGCAAGAGAAAAGTGTAGGATGGATATAAAAACGAGTGAGGCCAGTGTCATGCAAAATCCTATCAAACACGGAATCCTATTGGCTGAAAGACCTTTTTTGATATGAAAAATCCTACAAAATCGCTTTATGTATGTGGTCTCAACCATATAAATATGCTGATGAATGTATTGCATTGTATAACCGAAACAATAAATGCTAAACTAAAGATTCTTCTTAGTTTTTTCTCAGTTGGTAAGCATATTGGTTTAGAATACCCTTATTCTTCTATCTTAGCATAACGGTAAATGATTCACCTGCCCTGCTTTGCATTCTTTTGGCCAACAAACCCAGTGATATCAGCGTTGGTTGCCATGCAACAAGGGGCCTGTTCAGCTTCCTGGGGTGTTACGCATTTCGGGGGGAAGGGTTCATGGGTCCTCATATGGCTTGTTAACTGAGGGGGGGTACAGAGGATTTATTAAATATAAAAACAAAATATATATTGCGTGTTTGATTGGTCCAGACGCTACACTGCCTTGCTTATGAGTTTATGTATACACTATTTTCTATAGCTAACTTCAAGCATACATTTGTTTATTCACTGTTTTAGTAAATCAAGAAAATGTAAATTACATTATGAAAATAAGCGCAATAATTCCTGTGCAAAGGGGGAAAAGATTCTGTGGGAGGAAACAATCTTACACAACAGCAGCAGTAAAATGTAAGTTTTATGGTTAGCCTCTCTAGGTGTTGACTGAACATTTGGTGGGGTCAAGTGCCCGCTGATATGACAGGGCAGGGCTACATGGCCAAAGTGTTCACTCTTTATTAGAGACATAACAGTAAATCCAAGCACTTTAAACCCTGAAGTGGCAAAGACTTGTATTTATACAGACATGATTCAGAACATAGTAGACAGACCAGCAGTTCATTGGGGGTTATTTTACAGCCAGTGATTTGCTGAGGTACTCACCACAAAGTAGTAGTACTTAGACGACTTGGCCATGAACTCGGGACGACACTCTCCAACGCACACTTGGACATTTCCAGCAAACTGGCTTCTTTCCGCTTTTCCCATTTCGCACACAATCCTGTAAAACACACACAAACGCAATCAGTCGACCAGAACAGTTCCACAATAACAAGCAAACCATTTATGAAACTTTACACGAGAGACTTTAATGTCAGTCTCTGCCATAATAATATAGGCATGAGATCATATAGGTTAATATGAATGAGTTAATCTGCCTCCTTGTTCCATGACAGGTATCAAACTTTCTCATGCATCACAATAAGAAGCTAATCACTGCGTCCAAATAATAATAATAATAAACTTGTGCTGCCGCAACCTGCAGCAGAGAAATTCAGAATAAAAAAGAGGGTTTTTCAGGTCAGGACAATAATACTGGAGAAATTTTCAAGCTGTCAGCAGGGCTTTCTCAAATGCTTGCCAAATAACGCATAATTATCTTTTGCTGTCCTGACCTCGGATTAAAAGTTTCTTTAATGCGTTCTCTGTGTTTACTGCCAATCCATATCAGGCACTTTTAAAAGACGCAGGGTTCTTGGCAACATTTATCAGGCCTGCATTATGCTAACTCAGGCTGCATCTGTAAAGAACAAATGTTTAGAGACTAAAAACAAATCTATTAAGGCAATTCAAGGGAGGTGACATCATTTAGCACAGATAGTCATTAAATCCAGGTTAAAAATTTTAAATGTCAAATCTGGCCTGGTACAATAGTAAACCCTGAAAGTGCTATACATAAAAAGTGTTTTGTAAAGTGTTCCTAAATTTAGACACTTACTGTTCTGCTGGTATATATCCCTCGGGTACTGGCGTACATTCCACATCTGCAACCTTCACATAGTCCTTAATCTCACTGAACTCCAGTCCCAGGTTCTCGCCACGAATAGTCACCAGTGTTCCACCTTCACGCGGCCCTCGAAGTGGGGTGATCTGTAGACAAGTCGCCATATAGACATAAGGAAGTGTGATCATTCCCATGAAATAAGAAACAACATGGAGAACTCTCACACCCCCTGGCATCTTCATCGTTGGTACGAACCAACAGGAAGTGCAGAATGACTTAGCGATTCCTTCATGCACCTGCAGGAGTCAGTGATTGTGAGACAGTGTGAGGGGCGGGCAACAGCGAGAGAAGCTGTGAGTGATTTGGTTCAGTGGGATAATTGGGCCGCTCTCTGTCAGAGCAGCAAAGCCTGCATGCTTATGGTGAATAATGATCAGCCGCACAGCCAGCTGAGCCAGCCGAGTCCTGCCTATAGCAAAAACAAAGCCATGCTAATTTATGAACACAGAGTTGGCGTCTGGGAGAAAATATGCCGACACCAGCATGTAAAATCATATGCTGCTAAGATTGGAATATAAACACAGGCGTGCACGAGGATGCTTGTTTTCATCTGTGCATGTCAGGCGATCAAACACCTTTTATTCTTTGCTCCTAGGTATGCTAAGCAGTACCAAATCCGCCTGATTAGAGCTAACGTATCTGTAATGCACTCGCACAGTGCTATCACTCGCATCTTCATGCTTTTGCTGGTGTTATACAATTAACACAAGAAACACTTGGCTGCCGATCCATTAAACCCATAAAGGAAGACATTTATGGTGCATTAAAATGTAGCGACTAAAAAGAAATCACACTTAATTTAATTGGCAATTCATGTGCTATAAAACATATCTTGTGATGTCAAATGAAGACAGAGTTATGTCTGCTCAGTGAAGATATTATTAAATGCCATAAGCAAGATCCCGACTAAAAAGAAATCACACTTAATTTAATTGGCAATTCATGTGCCATAAAACATATCTTGTGATGTCAAATGAAGACAGAGTTATGTCTGCTCAGTGAAGATATTATTAAATGCCATAAGCAAGATCCATATAGTCATAACAGACCCAGCCATCCAATCAGAATAAACCATTCTTCTAACTCTGATTCTGATCAGTGGGTTTATAACAGTTTAAATAATAAATAAAATAAAAACTGGTGTACGATTCCTCTGGAAACCCTAACCTACTGAAATGTGAGGGAGGGAAAGAAAGAGGAGTAAAGCTAGCATGCAATTCATTCCCACAATGCATTTGTGAATAAATGTACTTGTGAATAACAAAGGTCAGTGTTTAGCTGAAACCACACAAGATGAACAGCTCTTTTATTGAGTGACTATCCATCAACACCTAGCCTATCAAACATATTCTGGCAGTCTGGACGCACTTGTCTGAGGTCGGGCCTCATAAGTGTATTGACAGCTGGGCTATTAGGCCAAATGTAGGACACTCATTCCTCATCTTGGCAAAACGAGGGACCGTTGGATCCCAAAGGGGAATATAGACATGTTAACATCCCGGCTCTGTCATTATTTCCTACCAGATAATGATCCAACTTTAGGTCAGAGATCTCATTAGCAGCCTGGTGAGAGGTAATTTCCCTTTAACCCATCACTTGCACTGATTGTAGCAGAGAGCGTCAAGTTTTTCACAGTTTCTTTATCGGCTTCAGAGTACTGTGGGAATATTGATATCCCAAAGGCTCTGACTGTGTGTTTAAATTTTAAACATGCCAGTGTACTATGAACACACCCTGTCTGGACAAAGCATTTTAAGGAATATTATAGTGCTATCATAATTTATCTCTCCAGTAATCCAGTTTAATCATAGTCTTCCTCTTCTAAGATACTACCAATGTCTTTGATAGTACAATGCCCTTAGGGACTTGTAGCTTTTCGGGACCACTTTAAGTTTTAAGATACACCAAATGATTATTTAAAATGAAATAACAGACCCATTTTCATACTTTACTGGAAAGTCATTGTAAAATTGCAACCTTCCGCTGAGAGAATGAAGCAGGAGTGTAAATGAGTATGAGCGGGAGAGAGAAACAGAGTAGTCTCTTTTCATTAGGAGATGGGGAGTTGATTAGATTTGTGACTTTGACAAGCTAATTAACGGTTGTTGGAGGAAAAATATTTAATCACTAATGTCAGCGAAAGATTCCTCATCTACAATGTCACAGTAATAGTGCATTAGAATACATTACGATCTGTGAGCCGATCAATTGAAAGAAAGACGCCGAGAGTGATAATCAGAGAGAGTGAGAGTATTTATGAGACATGAGGAAAGCTCGGATCTGGAGATGGAATAAAAATAGAGGAGCTCAGTCCAAGACTTCCCTTCACAATACCCACAGCTCCGTTTGGCTTACTTCCATTTCAATCTTTCAATGTGTTAATTGCCAATTAGAACCTCAGCTATGATCAAACAAAGCAATGAAGTGATTGTTTAAAGTGGTGGTGACCAACTACAGACTACTACAGACTGTACGGTTGTAAAAATCTAGGTACATTTGCAGAATGAACTGGATTTTAGGATATAATTAGTGCTCTAAGTATTCAACTTTACTGCATAAATCACAGTTTATACTACAGACATTAATAATTGTGCAGCTCATTCAGGATAGGCATGCTTTTACTTTTCTAATAGATTTTTACACATGCGATTTTCTAATATATTCAGATGCGTACAAAGATTTTGAGCAGTGATCTCATTGGCTTACTACGGCTTATCTACTTCATTCCATACTTTCATTCTAGTACTTTTTTATATTTTTTCTGTGAATGAGCTGTTCCTCATGCCAACAAGTTTCTGAGTTTGATTAACAAGCTTCAGACACAACTGCTGTTCATCATTCAGAGCCTGTGGCACTCAAACAGGTAGCGTTCCCTTCCCGCTATATGTTTATCAATCAATTTGATGGGGCGCTACAGATGGAGATGGTGGTGCAGAGGCTTCAATGTTCTTCCTTGTCTCCATCCTTCCACTTTCTTGCTATTTTTCTTCCCTCAGTATTCTGCCCAAGGTCACACTTCCATCATATCTCTTTCAGCAGTGCACCCATCTGTTCCTCCTTTGCTTTATTTCAGTTTATATCAACTGTTCATCTTCACAATGATGGTTAACCATAAAACATGCATATGTCAGTGAGTACAACTGAGCATTTCTGTCACGTCTATTTATGTTTACGAGAGTCCTATTGTACCTGCGGAACATAATATTATACTGAGAATGACAAAAACCCAGAAATTTAAGATTTAACTGATAGTATAAGCTTAACTCTAAATAAAAAAAATGATCAGCAATTATAGTTCACCTTTGAGAATCTTTTCACTTCTAAACAGTCATAAATGTACAAGTCCGGCTCTGGGAAAGACCCCCAATGTCATGGGTAGTGACCTATATATACTGTATACATTGAGACCACATTGAAAAGCTTCGATACAAAAAAATAATAATTAAAAGTGAAGTAAAATGAATTAGATTAAAAAACATTAAATCAGAAAACTGAAAAATAGAAGTGTTTCCACTAGTGATCTCAGACTTTTGGACTCTGTGCTACGGTCTATTTTTGTGTGTGGACTGGTGCACAGTTTTACCTTTGTGATTCTGGGGTGCGTGCACTTGCTATTGATGCCATTGTGCTCGAGCCACATGCTCTGCGGGTGAGGACAGTGCTGTTTCAGAGAGCAACGGTTCTCTCCCTTACACCACACACAGCCGAACAGAGGGTCTGCCTTCAGACAGAGTCCACAGCTCTCCCGCCGTGCGTCACACTTGTATAGGTGCACTGGGGATACAGGGAGGGCAAAGGGCAAGTTAGGTTGGGAAACCCATTGGGCATCAATCAAAGCAAAATGAATACTGATGTAATTTGCAGCAATGGCTTGAAGTACTATAGAATATAGAATAGAAATCATATAATCCCTATTCACTTGCTTCCTCTCAGCTGTGAAGATAACTGCTCATCTCCTCCTCTCCCTGGTACAACGATATTATGTTTAATCTCCATGGCAACCAAAAAGGCATTTTTAATTGCTATTAGATGCTTGTATGATCTGTCCATCAACTGCTGCCCCCTGAGTGTTTCCCCCTTAGTGGGAGAAATCTCACACACTTTACTTCCCCTCTTAAATTAGCCTAACCTTCCCACACACACACACACACACAGCGCTTTAATAACACTCACACAAATTCTAACTGTTCATTGATTTGGATTAAAGCAGTGGCATGTCCAAATCCCATTTTATATCAATGAAAATGTTCTGCTTGTCTTGACATTGAGCATACATGTTTAAAAATCTTTGAAGGCTCAAACTGCCTCTGCAATTAGTCTGAATATTCCTTTAATGGCCAGAGCATCCTTTTAAGTGCAAAAAAACATTTTCTTAATCAGTATTTTTGTCTTGTTTTCCAGTTAAACTATCTAAACATCCACTTGATGAAAATCACTTGAGAAGCAAAATTGCATAACTTATTAAGATGTGATACCATGGATTAAGTTTATTTTTCTTACCCCACTGGAAAATTGTTTTAAGCAAAAATCTGACCCAAAAATATTATATAATTAAATAATACTACATATATTGTTTTCATAAATTATAATATTACAATAATAATTACAGAATAATTGCAGAAGTTCTGGACTCTTTAATTGGCCAATGAATCAGCTTTAATTTGCCAAGGACTGTCCAAGAGGCCACCTGACTGACAGGTAAAGCAACCAATCACAGTTAGTTTTGTTTAGCTTCATGTTTAGGGGTGTGAAAATGTAAAGCTGAGATAACAGATTGGCGTGCAACAAATAAATCATTCATTCAAGAATGTTGTCTTCAGTGGTCAAGAATCTATGCCGTGAACTTCACATATGTTTGAAAATCTAGCGTTCAATTCAACCAATCAGATGAAGACTTTGAAACTACCAAAGTATTTCCCATTTTGTGTGATTTATGCATCAGACATTCAGCCAACAGTCCATGGGTGTGATGTCTGAGACTGAGACTAGGGTGAAAATTATTCAAGGTTTCATACTCGATTTCAGCTTGTACTGGGTTGAGTTTAATTCATTATATTTAGTTGTCATTATTATATCTCTCTTCCTCTCTGTAGAGGGTGTTTGTTGGCCAAACAAAAGCTGACTCTGACTATAGGTCTCTGACTGGCTGTCTAACAGGTGGGTACACACACAGGTCAATTTTAAAGACTATGGTAGATCTAATTGCTACAAAATGTCTCTGACCTTCTATGTGGTGCAAAAATATACACACAGGAAGAAGATGAGAGGTGTGAACATGAGATATTGTGATATATTTAGTTAAACAGAAGGTCAAAAAAGACAGAAATAAAGAGATGAGGAAGAAGTTAAGCAAAAACAGGGGCTATCAGCAGTCAACTCCACCAGGATGTCAGGGGATGGATGCTGCAAGTCTGTTGCTATAGAGACTGAATCCAGGGGTACTAGCAGGGCTGCCGGATCAGAGCCCTCACCTTTGTTTTGGGCCGGGTTGTCAATGCTGAAGTCTCCGTTCCAGATGACCGTCAGATCCACAGGGAGGCTACTCATCTCCATCCCATCATACAAGTACTGTAGCCATGGGAACAGAGTCAGACAGAGAGAGAGAGAGAGAGAGAGAGAGAGAGAGAGACATTTATTAGCTGTGTTCTGCTAGAAGAGCATTTTTATCATTCCTGGCAGATTCATCCTTTGGTAAGTCATCACAGCACACAGTGGAGAGGACTCCAAAATCCCTACACTGCTGATGCTAGGAGAACAAGCAAACATGCACTAAATATTCAGGACAGAACGCACTTGTGACTAAAATAACTGCTTTCACACAAATGCTCTCTCCAAACAACCGCTCGCTTTTATCACGTCTACGACTGTTTGTGTTGCTTAAAATTCTGGGCCTTGTTTCTGAGAGTACCCTTGTGTCCACAGACAAATTCGCTGAAACGTTTACTGAACACACTCAATCACATGCACACACACACACACACACACTCACACACACAGTCTTACCGATGTGTTCTGGCACTGTACACTGGAGCTGTTGAAGCGGAGGGCGGGAACTTTCTGTTCCACGCCCTGTATGGTGAGTAAACACTCGTACCCACGCTGGCCCGACTGTGGCTGGGGCAGGTTCTTGGCCCGAAGGGTGATGGGTTTCACTACGTTTACTGGAACCAGGATACGATCCGCTGGAAGCAGCTGAGGACATTCCTGCAGGAAAACAAACAACAAACTGCAAGGTCAAAATCAAACAAAAAATAAGATGAACCAAAAACTATCCCTTGACACAAGTCTCTCAGACAACTCTTTCAGAGTGTTTCCTTTAGGTTAGGCCTAAGTTGAGACCAACAAAACCTCAAAATGGGCATGGGCCTGTTCTTAGCATCAAAATCCATCTTGACAGCTCCTAGATTGAAAGGACGGGCCAATAACCATGGTCTGAAGCTCATTAGCATGGCTGAATTGCTTTGGGGCAGAGTTTAAAAAAAGCCATTATAGATCATTTGAGAAGCTATCTACAAAAAGAATAAAAGTGAGTACTGTTAATTCAAGCAGACAAAGAGATGTAATTTTACAGAGAGAAAGAGGATAAAGAACTTTACAGTGTGTTTTTTTTCTCCATGTCCCTGACTACAATCTATAAGACTGCTATAACTTTGTCTTTTGGATACTACGAAAGAAACCAATGAGGTGGCGCAGAGTGGTATTTATGCAGTGCAGGGCGATCAAAGTGCTCAGGCGGCTATTGTAATATGAATACAAACTGCGGTGCTATCGGGACCAAAGCGGCTACGGAATGCAGATTGAATACTGAGTGTGAATTTAAAGATGCGCTGCAGTCGGGTAATATTTTGTATGGGCATGAGGTTGAGCCATAAACCCCTTTTCATTTTAACTTTCATACCGGATATTTACAGTACAGGAGACACTTAGTATTATACTTCAAAACGCACACCATCGCAAGCACACCAATGCTGGTAAGCATAAACACTTATCTTAACATGCCAAATAAACAAATACACCACCCGCATGCATAATTATAGCTTTAAATAAAAACAGCATAGACAGTAAAACACACACTCCACTCACACTCCGACCCTCATATCTCCACCCACACAGCCTCCAGATATTAAAGTCATCAGTAAATGCCGGGCGTAAAACGCAGGCTAATTCCGCTGAGGGCAGCCCTACACTGACCTGACTTTCAGCCTACATTCAAGTCGCTAAATCCCCATTTAGAGCCCCCTCACCTTCATAATAGCTACCCAGCCCCGTGGTCTACAAGGGCCTCTCTAAGTCCTTCCCCAGACCACCCTCCAAGGATTTATCTCCCTATTACCCTGATATAATGTGAACATGTTTATTGGCAGTGGTCTTAGTCATAAATAAGGCACGACAAGGGAAAACCGCCCTCTAAAACACCAATATCTCTGTCCATTCACGCCCAAGTCTCTCTGGCATGCGCTTTCTTTTTTGAGGAAGGTGTCTGGCCGGTCACCCACACCCCCCTCCACGCCTCTCATTGACGGATGAGCAGGGCTCCGCTGGCAGGTTTATGTGGTGGGAGATTGACTCCAAGCATAACAACAGTATAATTGAAGGCTGGGAGGTTCTAATATGGAGTCTTCAGAGACACTGAAGACTAGGGCCAGGTTATTAAGTCTTTACAAGAAGGCAGAGAAGAAAGGACAGAGATAGACACAATGCGAGAGAGAAAGTGGGACGGGAACAAACAGTCTATTACTCATTTCGAAACCTATGGCAGTTCCCATTTCAGCCTCAATAAAGATTTTGCATAAGAATGTCACGAAAAACTTTGAAGGACACAATGGCGGACACATCACCCTGTCAGCATCAAACTAGATCTTGTGGTCTTGCTGCTTTAAATATAATTGAAGCAGATCAAAAAATTGGCCACACTTCCTGTCTTGAGGCTCAGAAAGAGAGCCAGTGTCCGTTAAGTCCAGGAAGAGAATGATTCCTGTAGCCTCAAGCCAGATACAGCTGAAGAGTCTTACTGGAAGAGACGTTAATAAAAAATGCAGGGATGGTAATTCAACATGCATTCATGAGACAAATGACTCCACACTGCAGTTTCCGTCCTTGTCCGTGACGCGTGTCAAATCCGACAAGACATGCCCGAGGTGAAACATTTGAGGTGGGAAAACAAAGCAGGGTTTGATTAAAAAAAGGGAAATTATTATTAAGAATAGGCATTTTACAGATAAAAGAGGCTCTTGAGAGTGTGTTTACAGTCTTGGTCTGAGCAAGAGAGGCCTGAGGGTGAGCTGAAGCATAATAATGTGTTTGTCAAAGGGACGTGGAGTGAGGCAGACAGCAATTGGTCTCCCGATTGCTTACTGCGGGGGGGACTGCATTCAATTCACTGCAGCTGAATCTCCAATGTCTCAGAACAGAACTGATATAATTAGAGCAGAAAGAGATACTGTAGGTGGGGGAAAATAATGAAGTTCAGTGCGTGCGCTTCTGTTAGAGATGCGCCGAGACAAAGATAGTCATTGAGTGCGAGCAGGGAGGAAGACGCCCTGGCACAGAGAACAGAGGATAGCGAGCTGGCACGGAGTGATAGATCCATAATTAGAGCTGTTTGAGTATGTATGCATAATGGCAGCGTTCAGTCGGGTAGAAGATGAAATGCCTAATTCTCTCCACAGCTCTTGCGGCGTTAGCTGGATGATTACCGAGGCTTCCCTGCACTCCTTGCACTTTTAGTGTGCCTCCCAACCGCCACGGGCAAAAACCCTCTCCTCCCATTCCTTGCCACATTTTACTTCCTGCGGCATCACACATGCTCTTATCTTCTCTCACCTCTGACACTTCCCCTCCTTTTCATCTGTTTGTTTTCACTCTCGCTCCCCTCACGAGCTGATCTTTTCTTCTTGTCCTCCACCTTGATCTAAATGATTTTTACCTTAAAGTTTCTCCCTGAGGGCCATAGGCCATTTCACAGTTCTGAACTCAGACCCAAATCCTCCTACTCACAATCTGCAGCTCAACTGCGCAAAGCTGCCAATTTTGCCTGTCAATTAACATCTTAATAAGATGGTAGAGAGTTCATTGGATCGATCAGTTTCTGTTTCCCACAACTCTCTCCTTTTCTTTCTTTTTTCTCATCTACCTCCATATTGTTCAAAAATTGAGTGAGCTGCCTTGCTTCCTACTGTCTACATAGGCAGCTGCCTTCTAAGGCAGCTTGTAACAGTCATGGAACCTTAAGTGACTGATTTGGAATGCTTTACATGGGTGGCAAGTCATGTGTGTCACACAAATAGTTCTTCTCACAACAAGCACATTGAAGACTCCTCTCACAATTGATTTCCCTTCATGCAGTGTGAAAAGAAGTGGTATTGTAAGAAGCAATAATATTTTGGGTAATTTGCGTAAAAAAGTCAGTTTAAATCATTAAAAAAGTTTTTCCCGCCTCATACTTAAGTAAAATTAAAACTGTACTTATTTTTACTTTAATGTTGTTGTTTTCTCTCTCTATCACTGTTTTTTTTCCCAAAACAAAATTCAATGTGTTTAATCATAAGCCTTTAGCTCAAAAGGTTTATAAGTTCATATAAATTGGTCTAGTGTTAATATTTTGACTGTTAGTGTATCTATTATTCAAAATCACACCACAATTTCACATTACCCGTCGGTAAGGCATGCTATAAACAGGCACTTAGCAATTCCTAAATGGATGTAAAAAGCCAAGCCATAACAGAAGTTGTTTGCTAAAATGCAGTGGATGTTTGGGTCAGACCGGTGTGCGTTTAGTCATGCAGCAGTACACCAGTGGCCAAGAGTGAGACATAGGGGACCAACACAGTCAGCAACTGACAGGATTCAGCACTATCCTTTGTATACACACTCTAGCCAGAGAGGAAATCAAAACCTGTACAGGAGAGTTAGATTAGCTGTGTTGTGATGGAAAAACAATTTTTACAAAAAATCCCTGGACTGAACAAACAAAACCAATCATTACTCCATAATTCCATATTAATTCCAATTCTGAAACAATTTCAGGGAAATATGCCAAGACTTACTAGGCTTACACTAACCATTAGTTAATCCACTGACAAAGCTTACCTCAAAGTATCTGACATACTTTACCCCACAGCTACTATTTTGGAAAAAATGCTTCATTTAATAATTCTTGACTAATCCATAGGCAAAACAAATGTGCATGGTTTTGTACAATGGCAATTTATCAAAAAACATGACACATTTCTAGACCTCGAAAAGTTTACCATCACAACACTTTTTACTTGCCATATAGAAAATTCATTAAAATGTTAATCACTTTTCTCACATGCATCTCTCTGAATATATACGCACCGTATGCCAAATTTCCCTACTTTATATAACAGGATAACACTAATACAGTACATCCTTTTCATTAGATACTCTATTTTATGATGCAAAACTGGAAAATCTGATCAAAATATGTTAAACTTGCAGAGAGGCAAATGATGTGACTTAGAATATTAGAATTTATTACGAATGTATTTATTTAAGACCAGTCATATATTTAAATGTGAGAGACTGTGAATGGCATATACACTGTTGTTAAATCTTGCCAGAGTCGACATTCTAATGCTGTAGCACGTTTTGCTTGTGAATGTGGATGGTTCTCCTGTACTCATAGGTGCTTACTGAAACAAGCTCTGACTACAGGGGGCTTCTCACTTCCAAAAACCATTAAAAGAAAAGTCTGGATTATTCAGATCACTCTCAGCAATCCCTTAATTGGTATAAAACACAGAATTCATCTGTGGAAGGTCAATGCAAAAGGTCATCTCATTTCTCCATGCAAAGTTGACTCGTCAGCATCAGCTCGGAGGATTTGCACAGTAAACATCGATAGTCATTAATTCTAAGCCACCCGGAGTTTGGAAGGGGATCTGAAACCTCCAGTACGAGGGGTTAATGAAATCCAAATTAAACTCATTAACCGGACAAAACATCTGCCTTTAAACAACAATCAAACAAAATCATCCAGTGGAAATGTCATTAAAATGTGCTAATATTCAGTCGCTGCTTTGTGTGCAAGTCGCTCGACACACAATAGGGAATCCTAATATTAAACTGGTCAATATTGACAGCGTGTCCATTTGATAACTGGAACGCCAAATGCTGGCAGCCTGAGAAACACTCTGTTGAGAGATGTTAATGAATGCTAAATGATGAGGCTACACATTTGTGTGGCTAAAACACATACCCTCGGGGGGCAGGTGTCCTCATAATTCATTACGCATTTCAATGCTAAGCACACACGCATGATGTACATAATCGTATCTTCATGGTAGCTGCCGATTTCTCTTCAGTTGCATGATGCAAATGAAATAAACACATTGTGATCCACACCATGTAGACCCTCAGGGAGGGATTAAAGGGCATTCCAGTGATACAAACTCAACGGCAACCCTCCTTGGCATCTCGGAGAGTGAGCTAGGAAAGGGTTTGGCTCTGGCAAAGAGCACAGAGCCCCAACAGCAGCTTTTAATTTATCTGATGGGCCTGCGGTGGCCTCGAGGCAAGCAAGTAGTGCCAATATTATTGATAATTTGCATGGAATAAAATGTTGGTGGGACTCCAGACATACATTTTTTAAAGATTTAATGAGAATTACGTTAAATTCAAAGCCATCAGACATGTATGAAGCAGCTCAATGTGACAGGGTGATGCTGGGTAACTTCTCACAATCAGGACGTGACTTGAACCATACCCCTGCACCAATCAAATCAATTAAGTTCAATTGAGAATGATGAGGGCCAATTATAAAACCTGATGTGTGACCAATCACAAGTAACTCACCTCTGGCTGTTTGACACGACCCTCCTGGAAAGAGCAGCTGCTCGGATCATGGGTGCACGTGTGACGATATTTGCACCAGTGGCACTGGTATGGGCTTCCAACACAGGATAGACACCTGGGACAGGGAATGGGTGTGGATTAATGCTGTCAGTTTGAGTGTTAGTGAAAATAGATAGAATGTTACATGACTTCACTATGTCATTGTAAATACAAAAGATACTTACGACTTGTGTACACTGCAGTTGTAGAAGACAAAACTAGTGTTGGCGAAAGCTAGTCCCGTCTCCTTTGATTTGAGGTAGAGCTGGACAATCTGATGGTCACCTAAGAGGCAGGGGGGAAACATTAAGAGAATGTTGAAACAGTTGCTAGTGTGCTGCTCACAGAAGATTCAGTTTAAAGCCCAATGAGCTGCCTACAGAAACCACAGGTTTTTCCAAAAGGTGGGTGACAATAAACTGCAACAAGGTCGCAAGGTTTACTCAATTTTTGTCTCAAAGACTGTTTACAGTATATTCCAAGGCAGTTAACTCATTTTATGATGAATGGGAGAAAGTGCAGCGAGCACTATGGCAAAATATGTCCTGTCGTGTAAATAAAATAGCCAATTACCAGTTGATAAAGTCATTGCAACACTCCAGCAGCTTAGAAGCTCCAGTTACCATAGAAACAGTCCTGAGATGCGCACTTGATACTGTACATGCGCATTGACTGGACCAACCTGATATATACATTTTTTTATTTCTTGAGCAAAACATGTCAGATTTTATTGCTGATTGGACATATTTAAATGTGAGTTTGGCAAGCAGTTTTTGAGATTTGGGGTTTCAAGGTGTTAGTACTTAGAGTTTCATGCTGTTATTATACCAAACACACTCTACCAAACTGTATATAGCAAATTGGCAGTTGCCTTTTATACATCAATGACACTAAGCTAAGTGTCTTAATAGCAAGCAGGTTATATAGTGCATGGATTAAGGTGACCGCTCTCCTCTACCAAAAATGCTCCAAAACCCTTCCCATAAATACATTGTTGAAGAAGAGGAAGAGAGAGACAGAGAGCGAGAGAAAGAAACCTGTACGAGTAAATGGAAATGTGGCACAAAAGTGCCCATCTTCAGCGTGTTTATGTCTGAGCTAATGAAGAACCTCATGTTTAATTCAACATGCTGGACACGATAACTCCCCTCTCAAAGGAAGATCATAATTTTTCACCCTATCTTTTCCTGTCTCTCTTTTTCTCACATACTTTTCTTCAACCTCTTGTTCTCCTAACACACTCTCCTTCCCTGTCATGCGGTGTTTCTTCAACAAAGATCGAATCATTCATCAATCACTGTAAAGTGTGCCTGACAATGAATCTGTCCCAATTAGTTCACCTAAATTTTACCTTGATGGCTGGTATCTCGTGTGTGTGTATGTGTGTGTGTGTGTGTGTGTGTGCGAGCAAGCCTCCTGCCACCCGCTGCAGCGTGTGTCTGCCTTTAATGAGTCACTCAGGACACACTGTTACCATGACACTAAAAAATGGAAGGAAAGTGAGGAATAAGGGAGACCGAGCAAATAAATGACCTATAACTACATGGGTATGTATATGTATGCATACAGAATCCATTAAAAGCACATCTTGATCCACAACTTCAAACATTTTTTATGATGAATCCCACTATTTGGGGTTAAACACACTGTATGTGTATGAGAGTGATGGTGTATGTATCCAGTAATGTGTGAGTGTATAAGTGAGTGTGCATCCTCAGCTGTGTAATAGTGTACTTATCCAGTGGCATAGGAGTGTGTGTTTGCACTGCGGCATTTTAGAGCTCCAGGCCCTTGCAGATTGGGCCGACCTGTAATTTCATGGTGGCCTGACAAGCCTCACATCTCCAATGAGACTTCCTTGCATCATTATTCACACACATCACACCCCTGCGCACCACTCTTTCTACCTCACATCCAGTCTGCCGTGCCACTTACTAAGGTAATTTGCGGGTGTTTCTAAACCAGACGCTCTGAAAGAACATTGTTGCTTCTTTTCCACCATGTTTTGTTTTACAATCTTTTTTCCCCTCTTTTCTACATGCAGAGGAGTATTCCCCCGTTTCCGCTGTAGTGCGTGTCTTCATTATCTTTACGTTGAGACGTTTTCATATTATGAAAAATTACCAGCCTCTAGACAGCTGCCCAGATGTGCGCTCGCTTTAATTATGTCGGGGTAACCAAGCACGTCATTGAGAAAACAGAGGTGTAAGAACGGCATCAATGAGAGTACGGAAGGGGACAGCGAAATGTTCTCTCTTGAAAAATCTTTTCTCTCTCTTATCTGCTAGAGTGAATGCTGTCAAAACCATTTTCAGCCGAGCAGATGGAGTGAAGAGTGTCATCAGTTCAGGAGATCCAATCCAATCCCTTTACTTGAAAAATCTCTCAAACCCCAGTGCCAATGGATCCTCAGAATGAAAGGCTGAAATGGAGAGAGACAGACGAGCACGCAAGAGACAGAATGCCAAAACTGCCTCCCTCTTGACGACCTTTATTCACTCAATTACAAAACATGTCCTGCGGCAAAAGTCAACAGCTGCAGGCAAGATAATGAGCATGTAAACTTCCATCTCTGCTCAGGTGTTTATGCCTATCACACTCTCTTCTCTTTCTTAGACTGTCTTCCCTCCTTCTCTCTGATTTAAATCCAGCTTCTCTGGAGTCTGGAGCAGATCTCTCTATCCAGCATCTCATATTATAAAGCTGTCATATTCTCACTTTTAGTCTCAGTTTGGTTCATATTGCCTTAACAAATGCCAATATTCAGTCAGTTCACCCAATTTCCCCTTGTATTTGATTGGTTAGTGACAGCACATCTTTGCACCTTGGTCTATGACGATGCGTGGGACTTCCTTCTCCGCAGGAGAGCTGCAGGTAATGCGGTTCCCCTCGACTAGACCATCCATCTCTGCCAGGTCCTCAAAGGTGCAGTTGACCCCTGCAGAAAGTTCTGGCACGTTATGTGCCTGCAGAACTAGCTGTCAAGGAAAAAGAAAAGACACGTTGAAGTTATTCAGGGGAGAAAATAGAAGGCAATAATGGACAGGATAAACTTTGGTGTGTGTCACAAACTGACACACCATCTTTGTGCACAGAATAAACTCATTTTTGCTGCCGCTGTCCCTAAAACTGCTGTAACGTGGATATTTTCTTATGCCTGTGATTTGAAATGCTCTTGAGAGAGAAGAACATCTGCAGACTCCACACATGGGAAATCTCAATCCAGCTGCAGACATCAAGACATCCCAGAAAACACACACAGTCATTCCATAAATATCCCAGCTGACACGTGGCCAACCATACAGCGAAATCAGGCCATTGAACCAGTGGCCACATATCTCCTAAATTTCCTGTAGGAAAATGTCCAGAGACATCAACACACTTCAGTCAGCCATCAGTCAGCATATACTGACTCTAATGTGTTTCACTGAACACAAGTGGGTGGGAAATTGAGAGAGAGAAGGAGAGAATGAGAAAGAGAGAGGGCTATGGGGTGAGAGTTTTCATTCTCTTTTTTCTTTATGACTCTTATCTGGAGAGCCACTGCTTGTTCTCTCTCTCTCTCCTTGTGTCCTCTCCATCTCTGTTACCCACAATGCCCTCTGGCTCCCAGCCTTTGAATGAATTTCAAGCCCTGCTCTGAAGCACATGTGTTGCCTGACACCAGAGTCAGATGAAGTGAGAAACAGAAGGGGAAGATGGCAAAGAGAAGAATGAGAAAGAGCAACTGTCATGAGACTGAAAGAAATGCCCCTTTTACACCTGCCATTACATTGGCATTGTTTATTATCCACATACAGCTATACATTTAGTATATAATACAGACGTTGCACCACCAGTAGTCATTATCATCTTCCAGTTTCAATTTTTATTGTCAGTAAAACATGAATGCAGTAAAATATAATTTTAAATACACAATCATTTATATTAATACTTTTTGTGACTTCTAAATGTCAAGTACTTTTGTTTTATTTTGCTCTCATAATGACACAACAGACATTGCAGTTTTGTGATCTGATCTCTCAATATAATGAACAGCAACTAATTCCACCACACTTCTTTTATAATCTTTTATTTTTCTCCCCAATGCTCACATCTCTCTACATGTCCATCCTCTTTAAGATACTATTTTCTCCAATTCTAAACCTTCTTAATATCCTCTACCCTGGGTAGGTTTCTAAAGCAGGGAAACACAATCTGAATAGTATATGAAACGCAAGTTAAAGTCAAAGAGAGCACAAAAATAAGGAGATCGCAGGAAGAGAGAATAATGAAGTCGTATATAGTAAGAAAGACAACAAATATGTCCCGTTTAAAATGGCCACAGTGGCTCTCCCTGTCAGTTTGACTCTGTTGGGTGTCCATTTGGGAAAGCATGCAGTAATGCTCTATGAGGGCATCATGGGAAGTGAAGTGGATGAAATCGGAATATCCACACTAATAGGAAGCCGCAGCCTTGCATAGATTGGCCTCTGCACCCAGCATTACATCGGTGATACGGCCTTAAACACCCTTTACTCAACAGAACGGCTGACCGGGGCTGTTTTTAGATTGCAGTTTAATGAAAAGGCAGGGACATGTAGCAGACACTTTTTTTCCCATCTCGTCCCCCTCTCTCGCTGTTTTCCGCTTTCCCATTAAAGTTCAGGATGCACCGGTGGATGGTGGTGCCACTCTGGGATTTAATTTATTTTTCCTTTTAGAGAGGGATGCAGAGAGAATTTCTTCAATTACATTTCAAGCAGCGGTGAACAAACCCTCGCTGGCCACGATAAATATGAAAATCATCCCGCTCGGAGGGGGACCCAACAAACAAACATAAAAAGGCCTCTTGCAGCAGTGGGTACAACACGAGGAACATGGTGTCTTTGATTACCTCCTGCCTGAACAGAAGAATGCATCAAGACGGCAGACTCTCACGGACTTCAGATGCTGATGCGGAGTTCTAATTACACTTCAGGATTTGTGAGTGGGGGGAAACAGAGATGTCGATGTACCCCCAGAGACCCCAAGAGCTATGAGACTCTATCTATTGTAACCTTTGTTTTACTTTAAAATCACATGGATAAAATCAATCTACATATAAATTAATTCTGAGGGCACCTATAGTGTCAAATCCATTCATGATTGATGTTTTCCATAAACAACTAGTTTAGAAGTGTAATCCTTCTTCAGAATAATACTAAAGCTGTGCTATGCTCTGCTTATCAGAGCCTCTGTAAAGAAACTTCTTTGGTAAATGTAGTTAGTAATTCAAACAATAGTTTAAAAGAGGCAAATTCCTCTTAAGATGGGCTTTACTGTGGTTTGCTGCTGGGAGGAAGTCTGGGAAGGCTTATGGATTAAATGTGAAATAACATGAAAATATGAAATAGTCAAAAAATGTTTTCTTTTAGAAGAGAAATTTACTTCAATCCCTATATTCCCTGCAGACTGAACAAAGGAGCTTTGTGCTTATCTCCTCAAACAAATATTTAATAATGGAAAAAGGTCAAGAAACAGCATGAATGCCTATAGTGCATTTCTGTGCACAGTTTGCAATTTATTGCATTGCAGATGTGTTGTTTTCCTTTCAGTAATTTCAGTTTAAAGGAAAAGGTCAATCTCTCTCTGACGCTGTCTTTGTAAATTGCTTACCATTCTTTTCATAACAAACATACAGATACATTTATAAAAAATACTGTTAAAACAGTAACATTGTGCACAATTTAAAATAACTTTTCTATTTTAATATTGCAAAGCTTAATTTTCAGCAGCGATTACTCTAGTCTTGTTGACATGATGCTTCATAAAACCAATATCGATTTGCTCAAGAAACATGTCTTATCAATATCATCAATGTAGAAAACTGTTGTGTTGCTTAATATTTGTTGTGGAAACCTTGATAATTTTTTTTCAGGATTCTTCCATAAATGGAACGATGGAACGTTCAAAAGAACAGAATTTTTGTAACAAATGTAAAATTTTTTACTGTCACTTCTAATCAGTTTAATGCATCGCCAAATATAAGTTTTAACTTTTAATAAAAGTACAAATAAATCTTAAAAAAGTAATATTATTATTATTTACATCATATTATATTACATCAAACCAACTCATTAGGGCTGTCAAAAAAAAATTCTAATTTCGAATATTCGTTGAATAAAAAAAAAAAAATCCACATACGAATGCAAAAGCGTTGCATTCGAATTTAAGGTCTGCGTCAGCCGTCAGGCAGCCTTATCAGTGGTGCACGAGATGCGATGACGATGTATGTATGATTGCATTTGAATGCTTTTGTTAGCCTATCCAGTTGAACCCACTAGATGCGGCGCAGCTACGTTGTTCATTAATATATTGCGGAAAACGAGAGCATCAGTGTGGAGAAGATGTTGTTTACGTCAAAACTGAAACCAAGCCGTTCACACAGAACACATATTTATCACATTTTCTGGAGAGACATCTATCAGTGTTGCACTCGCGTTTCGCAGAGAGTGGCATGTTTAGAAAGCCATGTAAAATTAATGCAAGTTTAACTTTTAAAAAAACATGTCTAAAGACATAATGGCAGTTTTTCCCCATCCCACTGTATCTCATGTTTTTAAATGAAGAAAGTAGCCTACTCTTTGTGATTGGTTTTCGGTCCTTTATATTAAACTATACATACATGCATGGTGCTGTTTTTTTCTAATTGTTTAAGCAACTTTATTAATTATATATGGTTTATAAACATTATTATTATCTACTGAATCTGCTTTGACTGGTTTCCTAGATACAGTCAACACGAATGCTCTGATTGAAAGTAATACAGTACTTATATATGGAGAAACGATTTGTGTTGAATGATTTAGTGTTATCTAAACATATCTAGGTCCTGGTTAAACATCATTCCATGGAGCACAGATCTTGTGTTATATGATGACGTAATGGGAGTTTATTAGCTCTTTTACAGCTTAGTATTTAAGGTTTTGATTTTGGGCCCAGAATACAGATCCTGAATCAGCTGAAAGGCCAGCTCCTCTAGTGGAGACGTTAATCTGATATAAAGACTCAGAGGAGGTGCTGGATTACATGAGGATAAGGTCTGAAACCATGGCCTGCTTTGATGGATTTTACACACACACACACACACACACACACACACACACACTCACTCAACAAGCGAGTGGTAGACTCAGAACTTAGCTGGGATCAGCCAACAAAAAACACCAACAGAAAAAAGTAACCATCCTGACAAGGGATATGGGCACATTGTGACTGGCATGAGGAAACAGAGTTGATATGACAGTGTTTACTGTACATGCACAACAATATTATGATATTTATCAGAATTTGGTCACATTCAGGTTATCATGTAAACGCATTAACCTAATTACATTACCAAACTAAGCCAATTTTCTGGTTTCCAGAAATCTGAATGATATATATATTCTTATATTAATCTGAACTTTGGGTTATGTAAGTATCTTATTCACAAACCCATAACATTTATGCAGATCTGTGCGTGTCCAAACAGCTAATTTTGGGTGATATTTGGTACAGATAGTTGCAAAATACTGAGCTTCAAAGAAAAATTTATGGAGCAAGGAGAAGATTCACATTAAAAGAAATATCATTTATAGGAGTCTTTTGTCCTACATTTTGCAGTTAATCAAGCTCTTGTATGTTATTGTTAAAGACATGAATGAATAAAGTTAATTTGTTAAATTGTCCAAAATCACTAAAAATATAGCATAATAAATTGAAAGAGCAAATGACTCCAGTATTTCTTAAAGAGAATAGCAGCTGTGGAGCATGTAAATGTCTTTTTCTGAATAGTGGCTTAACCGGAATGTGTATTTTAATCAGAAAATGACACGCTGGATATCATGAAGTATACCACCCAGAAACACCACTGATCAGCTTTGTGTCATGTCTGTGACTTGATCCAAACGCCACTGAAATAACATGGCATGTGTAGTACGATCAGGCTGCATGACGTGTCTTCATAAACCCATCAGAGTAACAGGCAGATCCATAAAGGCTGAACTTAAGACCATGATCACATTAATGATGGAGCCTGAAGAGAAATGGGCTCCATAACTGAATTAGTAAAGGCTAATGTCAATATGTCCAGTGTTTGGCTTTATCCTCAGAAACACTTAAAGGGGTTCTGTAATTCCTCAGTATTCCTTAAGGATATTTTATGGTGTGATTACACAGACGGAACTGAGGTGAGAATTGAACATTAGTGCTCACCATGACATTGTATTGAGACACGGAGATGTTGTTGGGGTGAACGCTGAGTCTCACACACTGCTTTATGTCCGAGGCAAAACGACGAGGCTCGGATGACCGTTCGCACTTCTCCTTCCTAGTGCACCTGGAAAACAAAGACAAAAAGAAATATGTGAGCACCTGAGAAAGGGAGAAAGACAGCATGTAAAAGGAAGACAATGTGTTTGATAGGATGGGGGGAAAATAGAAACTGCTGCACAAATGCATTCAACCATCTTCCATCTGTGACCAGCACAGCATGAAGGAAATAGAACACAAGCTTGGTTACTAGTCCAAACCCATGCATTATATTTCAGTTTCATATTTCAGGATAGAGGGAGGTGGGATAGAGAGAGAGAGAGAGAGAAAGAGAAAGACCAGTTGGTTGTGGTGACTCTATCCTGTTTCTGCTCTCTCTGCGGTGCTAAAACAACAGTGACTCTATTTGTGGAAGCAGAGCAGGCCCAAAGGGCTGAGGGACAAGCCATCTTTGTGTTCTACCCTTAATGAAGTGTATTCATGGCTCCCGGGTTCTGCAGGTGGGGAAAATCAGAGCTCAGAGACCCTCCCTTTAGACCCAAACACCCTCCACTCTGATCCGTTCACAAGACTGGGTCACAGAACCGATGAGGAGACCACCCTAACACTGCGACATCTAATCCAGACACATCAGATTACAGGTCCAAGGTCAAGCACGTTTAAGACTATTTTACACTAGTGACTTTTAGTTCTGACCGCTTGACTTGCAGAGTTACAAACTGGTGCTAAAGAACCCAGACACCAATACAGTGCACTGTTTTCCAGGACCCTGTGACAGTTAATTAATATATTATGTAATGATCTGCATTAAAAAGATTATTTATTTATTTATTTAGACACTACTTCTAATCCTTTATAAGATATAAAGACATATGAATTCAGAGTCTTACATTTAAACATTTCTAGGATTTTACATGACCACACTACCAAAATGATTTACTGTAGAAAAGTAAACACAAAATGTCCTTTTAATTAAATATTAAAATAAAGTTAATACTTAAAAGGAAATATAATGTATTAATACATTTTATATATTTATATATTATTATTATTTATTAATAATTTTCGGTAACACTTTAGTATACGGAACAATTCTCACTATTAACTAGTTGCTTATTAGCATGCCTATTATTTACATATTGGCTGTTTATTAGTACATATAAAGCACATTATTCTGCATGACCATATTCTACATCCCTAATCCTATTATCCTACCCAACACCTAAACTTAACAACTATTTGTTATTACTATTACTATTACAATACTATAACTATTAATAAGCAGAAAATTAGGAGTTTATTGAGGCAAAAGTCATAGTTAATGGTTTGTTAATAGTGAGAATTGGACCTTAAAATAGTTAAAATAATAAAAAAGTATGACCTATTTTTCTTCTATTTTAAATCTTAAAGAATTTTTTTTTTAATTGATTAAAAATACAAATTATACAGCAAGTACTTATAAGAACCAAGATATAATTTAAGACAATATACAATTTTTTTTGATAAAAGACCCAAAACACATCTTGTAATCGTTCATACCTGCATATCAAAGCACAATTGAGTCTTAAGGCCCATTCACACCAAGCACGATAGCTATAAAGATAACGATATTAGCGTCCACCCCAGCGAAAAATATCATCTGTTTATTCTAAGCGCACATGCGTCTGCCGCTTTAAATTCTTGAGCTCATTACAGCAGGATGGATTCTGATTGGCTGTCAGTGTTTTATTGTTCATCAGCTGGAAAAAAAATAATTTTAAAAGTGATCACAGCGATATCGTTCCTCTGTATTGCTATCGTTATAGTTGTGGTGTGAACTACGCTATTCTTTAATATTGAGAACGATTTTTAGAACTATATCTTTATCGTTATCTTTATAGTTATCGTGCTTGGTGTGAAAGGGCCTTTACACTTAAACATTTCAAAGTTTTACTTGCTTGGATAGTACAACACTGGCTAAAATAGTCTGCTCTCACTGGGTTATTTCACCTGTCATTCCCCGGACTAATCCAGATTGGCTTTATTCAAATTTGTGAAGCAATTAACTACGAATCAGCACAGAGTCCTTACGAGAGGGAGAGAAGTTTATAACGAATGACAGTTGTGACAGGGTTTTCTTCCACTGCAGAAAAGAAGGGGGGAGAGAGAGGTAGGACAGTGAATGAATTGAAAAGTTAAGAAGCCTAACGTGGAGAACTCTGAGAACAGAATGGGAATAATCTGCTGGTGAATGAAAGAGGAAGCAAAAGAGATTTAAATGGAAACAATCATCCTCTTTCTCTGTGCTTCTGTGCTAAGCAGGTCTAAGATGCGTTTAATCAATGGCCTCCTTTGTAGCTCCAATCACACTGCCTGAATCCCTTTTCTGCAGCTGATTTAATAAGCATGCTGTGTACTACGTGTTCAAATACACACACACACTTACGCTAGGTGGAAGCTATGGGTGGTGAAACATTGAACTCTAAAACGAGAGAGAGTGTGTAGCATTCTCAGAGCGCTGTGGGAGAGACAAACTGTCTTGTGCAAGTCTCTGGATGATTTGATGGAGCTGTGCATCCCGCAGTTAGAAGCACTTGTCAAAGGCCTTTAATAAAACATCACACCTAACAAGTCCCTCTCAGTCTGCACCCATTATGTAAGACTACAGGAAAATATGTAGGCAGTGAAGCCTGTTTAAAGCCTGTTTCTCTCCAATAGGGGGCGTATGAGGGTTGTCATGAGGGTTGTCTGTTTATAATTTCGAGATTACATTACTTTGACATGTTGTGGCTGATACAAGTCAGTGCTGCTTGTAAGATCAGGAATATTTCTTATTTAAAAGGGTTATAAAGGAGATGCCTGCTTGTGGGCTGAGAGCACTGTAAAAACATTTATGAGTCTTCATTTATGAGCTTGTGTAAAATGCCCGGAGACAAATATCTGCAGGATGAATAACAGTATGTTGGTGTATCTCATTCCTTTAAAAAATAAAAATGTATTGGCTACATTTTTTAATATAATATTTATTTAATTGTCAAATCAACCAATGGATAAATTCAAATCGTACCTACTTTTCCCCCCTGAAATTTCCTTGCATTTGGAAATATTACAAACAATATTATAAATATAAAATGCTAATAAATTTCATCAAAAATTTTATACATATGAAATTACAATATACTGCAGCCCTCTGCAAATGCTTTTCCATCTGATGAATTGGTGATCTCCTTGATAAGTGCACTTGCACTTGTTAAAATTACAAATGACTTGCTTCTTGCGTCAGACCAAGGCTTCATCTCATTGCTAGTTTTACTTGATCTTAGTGCTGCGTTTGACACTATAGATCATGACATACTCATAGATCGATTACAAAACTATACAGGTATTCAAGAGCAGGCTTTAAGATGGTTTAGATCCTACCTGTCCGATCGCTACCACTTTGTTCATTTAAATGGGGAGTCATCTCAATTATCATCAGTAAAATATGGAGTGCCACAAGGATCTGTCCTAGGTCCTCTGCTATTTTCAATATACATGTTGCCCATTGGTAATATTATTAGAAAATACGGGATTAGTTTCCACTGTTATGCTAATGATACTGTTAAAAATATAAAAGATTGGATGACCAATAATTTTAATATTAGTTTCTCCTATTAAATTTGGATAAGACAGAGATATTACTTATTGGACCAGAAAACAGTACACTGAATCTCTTGGATTACAATTTGCAACTAGACGGATGTACTGTTACATCCTAAAAACCACAAAAACTATGACGAAATTTATGCCGCGTCTTCGTTAACAAGACGAGACGGGACTATAATGTTATTTGAGGACTACCGGACATTCAAAATACATCCTATAGGCTACTGTCTTGTCCTTCAAAGGGATAAGGTGACCAGACGTCCCGTTTTTCCCGGGAGTAACAATTCATTGTGGCGCTGATAGAAGTGCTCTTTCTCATGCACGCTCCACTTCTTCAGTTCTCATATACAGCGCACAGATCTCAGTGCTCAAATACACACACAGCAGTCCAAATGTCTATCGTGTAGAGTATCTTGGGTAAATACAGTCGGTTATGGATTAAGTGAACGTAAACAGGTGGGTGAAAACTGAACGTGTGTCAGTATTACATGAATGCCTTCCATCTTAAAGGGACAGCGTTCCTAATTAAGTACCTATCTGTGTCAATAATGTTAACCAATCAAAGATGTTAAATAAATATGTTAAGTAAACCTACTGTATCTGAAAAATTTGTTAAATTTTTATCTCTTTCGTATTTGTCTTATTGTCTTATTCTGCTTCTTTTTCAAAAATTGTAAATGATATATATTATATATATTATATATCAGGGGTGGCGAACATCGGTCCTGTAGAGCCACAGCCCTTCAGAGTTTTGCTTCAACTCTAATCAAACAAACCTGAACAAGCTAATCAAGATCTGAACAGTTACTAGGAAGCTACAGACAGGTGAGTTTTAATTAGGGTTGGAGCTGAACTCTGCAGGGCTGCGGCTCTCCAGGACTGGAGTTCGCCACCCCTGTTATACATGAACAACTATAATAATAAATTGCTCCCTTTTTGCTACTGTTAAAGGGATAGTTTACCCAAAAATTTAAATTGTCATCATTTATGTCATATTTGTCATCACAAATTCAATCCTTGATTCAAATTTCTCATACGTTTAATTGATTTGATCTAAAGAGAGAATAATTAATGACTATTTTTGTTTGAAGACTACATATAAAATAGCTACCAAAATAAATGTTGGTAACTGCAGTTTGACTAAAAGTAATGACTAAAAGGTGACAAAAATGCAATGACTTTTCCGTTGACTAAAACTATGAAAGACTCAAATGACTAAAATGTGACTAAGACTATTAAGCATTTTCGTCTCAAGATAAAGACTAAATCAAAAATGCCTGTCAAAATTAACACTGCTTCCTGATAACGTTCGGGGTTCAGACACACTCTCTCTGTTTAAATCTAGATTAAAGACACATCTGTTTGGCCAAGCATTCAAATAATGCATCGCATAATCTTGTACTGCAGTTAGATCTGATCAAATGCACATTATTCTTTAGCTTG